TATTCAGAGAGAGAGAGAGAGAGAGAGAGAGAGAGAGAGAGAGAGAGGAGAGAGAGGGGGGGGGGGAAGGGGGTGCAGACGGTGTCTCTGATCTTAAATTCCGGAAACCGAAGGACCTCGTATGAGCGGCTTATCTAGATTGAGTAGATACAGTGATACCGAAACATTGTCAGTAATTGTCAACGCGATTAGATTTCAGTAATAACGATTTTCGTGCACGCACTGTTCCCTCATAAAGTCCGGACAATGTGTCTGCTCATAAAAATTATATGATTATCGCTACCTTTAATGAACCCACCTAAACTTTTATGACACATCTACTTCTTTATATACCGTAGATTATCATAACTGCTGAGTATACATGTAAATACTGCACTGATGTGCCTTAAATTGTGTCTAATTCTCTCATGATGTTAATTCTTTTTGAAACCCAGACGTACGTAGAATCGTGTGGAGAAGGTGATGGTATTGGTGAATGGTGGTCCCTTCGTTTTGCGTATTACAGTGGGGCGGCTTTACAGCTCGGTACAAATGTGCTAGTCACCTGTACGTTTTGACTGTCCCACCCAGAACAAACAGTATGACCAAAAACAATTATGTTGTCTCTTATCCCCTTTCAACTTCTCTGACCACTCGCCGCATGTCGTGTAAAGGACATTGTGTGCTTTGTTTTTGATGCTAGAAGACATCATTAAATCGGGATCGCAATGTGATATATGTCCGTCGTACCTGCACCGATTGTGCAAGATCTAAGCAGTGAATCTGATAACATCGATCTTCGCACGAGAGCACTGGAACTGTGTTTGTGGGAGATAACGCACTGATCAAAAACAACTACAAGATAAACTAAGCCCCTTTCTCTCTGATTGTTAGCTGTTTCATTATACAAATAGGTGTAAGTCCAAACCGGAGCGCGCGAAGTTCTTATTTTCTGACTTAAAAGACTAATACAGCCAACATTCACAAGCTACAAGATTTTATCTTGAAAATCGGTATCCTCATATATTCATTTGTTTATTTGTTATCGCAGGGCACNTAAATGCGCTCATTAAAATGCAAAGTTTCAAGCCAGGTAGTTTAATCTGAAACACCGCAATTTTTTTACCTGTACTCTGCAATATTGGCTGTGTAAGTTAACCGCAAATGTACATGTGCTTTGGCATTTTCACGGGCCTTTGAATGGACAACATTCTTCTATTTTGTAGTCTGGCAAGTATTTTGAATCATAACTTCAATTTGGCGTTAAGTTTTGTTTAAATTTAAATAAAAAATTGTGTTGTATTATTTATCGACTAAATTTAAAATAAATAAATAAATAACTCTTGATAAATAAAGATTTATGTCTAATTCAGACTCTGTAATTTACCGGTCAGTTATGATTTCAACCTTACGACGGTTAAAATACGTAAATCAGCCTAAAACGGACTGATAAGCTTCAAGGCTATTCGTGCATTTCATAAATGATATTGTGAACTTACAATATCCCTTTCGATCAAAGAAGAAAGTCAATTGGATAGTCACCCAAAATCCGAGCATTGTTTCCTGACCTGTAAGAAGAAAAAAAGAGCCCTTCCTTTACTTGTCCCAACAAAGCTTTGATCAGGGAGGCGTCTATTGAAGTGGTGAAACGCATTTTCATGAAGAAAAACCCAGGAACAATATTTATCTGAAATATGTCGCATGTAAGAACCCGTCTTTACATGCCAAGTGGCCCGTGCTACGGAGAGGTTTGATTCAGATTCTATTTCAAAAGCAGGTCCGCGCAACCCCCCTCAGTACATATTTGATTTGTGTTTGCTCACAGTCAATAGAGTTATGCACGCTAAAAAACTCTGTGTAATATAATCACACTTTCATGTTTTTATACACTATCACATCCGTAACAATGCTAACACCGGAAATTCAGTAAACGCCGCTGCTTTCTTAGATTTTCTACCCCACGCAGCAACAATCCGGGTTTCCATTTTCAATGATCTTTAATTTATCTCATGTGCCAAACTAGCTTATAACTATATTTCACGTTATCTAAAGAGTTATCTTTAAATTCAAACTTGATTTAAAAAGGCATGCGACAAACCTCGGACAAAGATATATATACAAACTGGGAAATCATTTGAATGTTACTGACAAAGGCGGTTTTGTTCAGAATCTTCTTTCTGTAACCTTATGATCTGTGCTTTGCGGTACTCTATAACCGAACCTAGTTAATGACTCAGAGCTTATTATTTTTTCATTTGATTATAATCTATCCATTTTTCTTTACATCTAGATGTATCTATTTAATTTGTCGACGATAAGCATTTCTAGTGAATTGCTTTATTTGCTTGTTTGATACGATCAGTTTAACCCTTCTTTCATAGATCTGCAGAAATGATAATCCAAGATCACAAATGTTCTCATTTGTGAACACAATCTCTCAAACGCAAGAGACTTAATATATACAAATAACTCTAATACATATGCTAACTATCTTGGTTTGTGATAGAAGGCAAACTGGTGCATCATTTTCATTTTTCTCAAGTCAGGTATTCCTGTAATTCTTTCTTATTTGTATGTAAACTTTCCAACATGGCTGAAATGAAGATGCAACTATGCTAGTTATTCAAATAGATTAACCGGGCACCTGATTTTTCTCTTTATATTTATGTATGTGTTTGCTAGCAGCTTATTTGTTTACTAATAAGATGTTTTTTTGGCAAAGACCGTTTATCATATGAGTATTATATATAAGGCATTCTTGTCACACACACACACACACACACACACACACACACACACACACCGAGAGAGAGAGAGAGAGAGAGAGAGAGAGAGAGAGAGAGGGGGGGGGGGGGGGGGAAGGGGGGGTGCAGACGGTGTCTCTGATCTTAAATTCCGGAAACCGAAGGACCTCGTATGAGCGGCTTATCTAGATTGAGTAGATACAGTGATACCGAAACATTGTCAGTAATTGTCAACGCGATTAGATTTCAGTAATAACGATTTTCGTGCACGCACTGTTCCCTCATAAAGTCCGGACAATGTGTCTGCTCACAAAAATTATATGATTATCGCTACCTTTAATGAACCCACCTTTACTTATATGACACATCTACTTCTTTATATACCGTAGATTATCATAACTGCTGAGTATACATGTAAATACTGCACTGATGTGCCTTAAATTGTGTCTAATTCTCTCATGATGTTAATTCTTTTTGAAACCCAGACGTACATAGAATCGTGTGAAGAAGGTGATGGCATTGGTGAATGGTGGTCCCTTCGTTTTGCGTTTTACAGTGGGGCGGCTTTACAGCTAGTCACCTGTACATTTTGACTGTCCCACCCAGAACAAACAGTATGACCAAAAACAATTATGTTGTCTCTTATCCCCTTTCAACTTCTCTGACCACTCGCCGCATGTCGTGTAAAGGACATTGTGTGCTTTGTTTTTGATGCTAGAAGACATCATTAAATCGGGATCGCAATGTGATATATGTCCGTCGTACCTGCACCGATTGTGCAAGATCTAAGCAGTGAATCTGATAACATCGATCTTCGCACGAGAGCACTGGAACTGTGTGTTGTGGGAGATAACGTACTGATCAAAAACAACTACAAGATAAACTAAGCCCCTTTCTCTCTGATTGTTAGCTGTTTCAATACACAAATAGGTTAAGTCCAAAACGGAGCTCGCGAAGTACTTATTTTCCGACTTAAAAGACTAATACAGCCAACATTTACAAGCTACAAGATTTTATCTTGAAAATCGGTATCCTCATATATTTATTTGTTTATTTGTTATCGCAGGGCACTCTCAGTGACAACTCGATAGATACCAGCATGATTTGTTTACAGTTTATAATCGATAAACGATTCAAATGTCACACCTTAAGAGTGGTTCTTTCGCAAATTACAGGGCTTTGGCAAACGTGCCGCAACCCCAGAACACACTGCTGAATCCTAGCTCTACAGTCCTCTTTAACCCCAGTCTACAGCCCTTATCGAGGAAGCAGAGAAAGCTGGTCGCAGAAAACCAAGGGACAATCATTGCCATAGCAAAAGGCGCGCGTCTAGCCGTCGACGAATGCCAGCATCAGTTTAAGAACAGAAAATGGAACTGTCCAACTTCCGACGACAGCCACGGCGGGAATATTTTTGGAAAAATTATGCTCAAAGGTAAGATATATTTGTGTATTTGATGTCACTCTTATTTTTCTTTCTTTTATTTTTCATCTGCGGGCTGATTGACTTGAGTTTTTCTATAAATGACAAGGTATTAGCTCAACGGGAATAGCGTTTGAACACTAGTACCAGTATTAGAACTATCTAATGGACAAACCCGCAAGCAAAATGGTGGAAATCCCCCCCCCCCCCAACAAAAGTGTTTGTGTTAGAAAAAGGTTAAAAAAAAATGAAGCAAAAATAATTTAACGATGTACATGTGATACTGTAATACTTTATCTGTTCAATTTAGTTGACCCCAGAGCCCTCACTGTCACACACAAACATACTATGTTTATTGGAACATAGACATATTGGAACATAGACATATTTATATTGGTGTGGTGGCCTCAGTACTTACCCTACGGTTTAACAGTGAAACGTCACTGTCATCGGACCTAGGGCCTGCCTGTAGTTTTCATAATTTTAATACGGAGATACCAATTTTATAGGCGACACGAGAGAGCAAGTAAATTACGAGATGTTGTATTTACAAGTTCAACACGTCAAAAGCGAAGCAAAAAACGCCATTAAATTAAAAGTTTTGATTTATGAAAACCGCAAAATTTACATTTGATTAAACCACGACCATCATTTCTACTAGGCATGCCCTGACAGTGGGACATAAAAACTGAAACTGGTGAGGTGTGGACATACGCTCGCCCATAAACCTCTGATATATACACATATAGCAATCAGAGATAAGTCTACAGTTAACTCTGATATATACACATGTAGTAATCACAGATAAGTGTACAATTAACTCTGATATATTTTTCAAAAGAAGAGAGAATCTATTGGAATAGAATTACACGTTGTGAGACAACTTTACAGCTAACACAGTTCAACCTTTCAAAATGAAAATGTCTTTTACGAATAGAATAGAATCCATAGTGGCATGTGAAATAGTTTGCCTACGTTGATTTTGAAATGAAAATGTTTTGTGCGCGCCCGTATTACCGTTAAGTATCACATGCAAAACAAATGCACAGATTATAGCCCATGTTCTTACCTTTGGCTCAAAGTACACATTAAACGAAAGAATTGACAACACGCTGACAGAATATGTGAACATTTAATGTGAACATTAAATAGACATATCTTGAATATGACACCCGGGTTAAACCGTCCTCTGTATCATTCAGACGTTTAAATGAAATGCCCTACATAATAATGCGCGTGAGGATATTAGATTGATGACTTTTAATTGCCCAAACACCCAGAGAAATAGATTTAAATTGGGTTTGTGATCAGTGCGCGAGGCGACCTCTGCACTTAATTCCCCAGGCCTCAGATTTTTTGATTGCAGACCTGTCATTTCTGCTGGGACCTCGTAAAACAGAGAACAAGTCCTGCATTTGTCTTAAAGTATGAACATATGCATGTATGTGAAATTTCCTGATGTGTGTCGAAAAAAAAAGACAACTTTGTATGCTGTCCATGAATGTGAAATGAAGTACAAATTGATGTACAAATGCTTATCAAACACTCGACATTGCCCCATCGAGTACACGAAAGGTTAAGTCGTTTAACCACACAAATCTTGATATTTACAAACAACCAAAACCGCTCCCGACTAGGTCTCTTTTATCTATAATATTTATGATGCTTAAGTTCTAGTGGTTTTTACAGCCTCAATGCTGATGAATTTAACACAAATGATTGGTCTTGCATCTAACATCATTCGTTTTCTATCTTGGGGTCTATAACTAGCCAGGGCCCACTGAAACACGCTGTTTAGTAGTTTCTAGGTTCGAGCGCACTATAAAACTCAAGGGGGCCTGAAGGAGAATTCACAAATTTGTTGTTTCCACTGTCTTAACTCCTGCTATCTCTCACGTTTCCCTTGCTAATCACATGTCTTCCAAAGGTATTTCTCCCATTATACTTCGACGTTTAGCCTAAATAGCGATAGATATATATTTCCTTTTTTAAGGGGGCAATCAGGTTAACTTTGAAGAAAACTAGTTTAATTGTTTACCTTTATAGTTAAATCGCTTTTTTTAAATGAACAACTAAACGAAAATATGACGAATAATCGAGAGAAAATTCTTAATTCGAAGCGGGAGCGTCCCCCATTGCAGTGCATTCGGTAATTAAAGCGGCTCATTTCTTTTAAGAAGTTCACTGTTTCTCATAGTTAAATTATCTAGTCATTACAAAGCGTTGCATGTGCATCTGTACATAGGCAAGTAGAAGTTTGTGGAAAAATGCTCCATAGGTCGCGTGTCACAATATATGTACCATCCCCATATAGAATAACACTTTGAGGTGGTTTGAATTTTTTTTAATTTGCTGTTTAAAGTTACACGAAGAGAACGACGGCTAAGGTGTGATTTACTCTTATTCCAGACACCTGTTGCTTGAAAGAATTCACTGAACACAGGGAAGGGTCCCTTTACAACCTGTGTACGCTAATGTAGAATGTAAGACTTCAATTTTTGAATTGCAGCAGGCAATGTTATACGCCCAGAAATAAAACAAACTGGTCAACGCGATTCTGTGCAAAATTGTAAGAAAACAAAATCACAAATATCAACATAAAATCAATCACTTAAGACGAATCAGAATATTTTCTGCTGTTCTGCTTTTGAAAACAAACTAAAGCTGGATCGCCAAAAATCTTTTCAGCTAATACACTATTTGCTTCTTTGTAGTCTATACAGTACTGCATTTTATTAACTTGACACAACGAAAGCTTTACAACTTGCATTCCAACATTAGCTGGCTCCACTACCTCACAATAGGCTGGAGCAACGCAGGACGAGGTAGAACTCCAGTAGGAATGCTTCAAACAAAACCACAAAATTGACCATTTATTTAAGGTTTCAAGTGGCCAACAGACCGCCACCAGCTAGGTGGGCCTTCTGGTGTTAACAGGTACGGCCTGGACACTGGTCACAGACGCTTCGGACCATATTTCAATTTCCCACGAAGGGTGCCCAGAAAGTCCCCCCTCCTCAACGTTGACATTGTTGACTGCGGTAATCAAGTCACCTCCCTTTGAAGATCAACACCCCCTAAACATCGTGCTTACCTGTCGTGCTTTCTGTTCGATTAAAAGGGACACTTAATCAAAGATGACACGTTGACATCGTTTGTTGATCAGACGCTTTGAAGATGACATTAAGCAAAAATTTAGGGCGGCCTTTTAAGAGACCTCGACTGATAATTTTCTCAGTTACCTGAGCTGTTGTGGCTTATGGGGAGCGGGTTTTATGGCAGTAAATTCACAAACCTCTTAAAGAAAAGCAGATGCGGCAAAGTGTTTTTAAATCTACCTTAATGTCACCCGAAAGTGAACAAGTGATTTGGGCAATTCTTGTTTGACGTAACAACCCTTTGGTGACTATAGGATGACGGATCCCTCAGTTTTCATCATTTTGAATTGGTCTAGTGAAATTAATTGAATGTTTTCTGTGGATTAAAATGGTTAATGTGATTACAAATAAATATATTCTTTACGATTTCTAATCTTCTGGTACATTTTGGTGATATTACGTTCTTATATTCCATTTTTAATTTGATTCTTTACAACAGAAATTAGACCATTGTTGCCAGATATGACATGGATATTTTAAACGGGGAATTTGATGGCTAATTAATGACGCGTACAAATGTATTTCTAGTTATTCTCCTTAAAGGATGTTATAAGGTAGAAATTGCGCACTTCTTATGTCACTTAGCATGCAAAGACTGAGGCATTATTCATTATCAAAGTATTTAGGGTAGGATCGTTATGGGCGAATAACATGGACGCTGTGATTGGATTATAATTGTATTTAAAATGGCAAAACAGACACAACAATGCTCTACCATCACTTTAGAGGCGTGTGACTTCAACTGAATGTGTGTTCCAGTGGCTTTGCATTCTTTCTTGTATGAACGCTTGTGAAAGAATACAACCTGGTCAAATATAGGAGAATAGCGAGGAATCTAACTTAATTTTCTCCCCGACTGATTTAGTAAAGAACAACACAGCACCTGACATGGTCAGATTTGTACATCAGATAAAAGGAGAGTCTTTAAGTCCACTTTAGTATCAGGAATGATCATTTAATATACGCACATACATACATGCATACCTATATACCTAAAGCGCGTAGCCAAAACGGGATGACGTAAGCTGTTGTGAGACGCGCGTAACCAGCAAGCTGACGCATTTAAGGGGTTGAAATACGTGTATTTTGATTAGCAAAAAATAAATAAAATCAATGACAATAAGAATATCAAATACTCAAGTGATACATATTTCTCCATAAATAAATTTCTACAAATAAGCAGCGATTTTGCTCCGAAGAATGGTCTTTGTGCTATGCTGCTTCTTTAAAAAGGGATCGATTCCAACCATCTATATCGGTGTCACAGTTTTCATGTCATCTGTTACAGTTTCACATAAAAGAAAAAATACTTTTGTCGATTCTTTTCACCATTGTTGCAATTAAGTTATTGAAATGTCGCCAGACGACCTTTAAAAATGTTGCCAAAGGTTTTTTTCTGGTGTGTTGTGACCAGTTATGTTATTTCGTTCTATATACAGGCAATGAGGAAAATTGGCGTGTCAGATATATAGTTTCTGGACATAAGAAATGACCCGAGCGTACAAGGTGACGGTCAACCACTGATGGTTCAATTTCGAGAGCTTATTTTTGCTAAAGACTGAAATGCTTGGTCTATGAAAAGGACAGACCAGTCTAAAGCAGAGGTGAATAGTAGGGAAAAGGAGAGCACGAGGTATAGGTCGTCAACAAGGACAAAAACAAAAAAAAAGCAATTAGCGTCCGTTCCTTTTTGATATATTTCAGACTTCTTGTCATATTTTAAGGAGGGTTGTGAAGAGTAGTGGTGGTACACCCGAGTTTTCTTTCTAATCAGGCGATATTTGGGGTAGAATTTCGTGTCATTGAAATCCCGGGTCCTCATGACATTGATTAATGGGACCGACTCAATGTGAACCCGTGGAGACACCGAACGATTTTAAAAACCCTCATACGGCAAACAGCTAGCAATAAATAAGAGGCACTAAACTTGTACAATTCTCTTCAAAAGTTGAGATATCATTACACACAAATTTCTCTGATTCACTGTTTGAAACGGGCCTTAGTGTATCAGTGTTTTTTCTTCTCCCATTGTCTGGGGANAAAGCAGATGCGGCAAAGTGTTTTTAAATCTACCTTAATGTCACCCGAAAGTGAACAAGTGATTTGGGCAATTCTTGTTTGACGTAACAACCCTTAGGTGACTATAGGATGACGGATCCCTCAGTTTTCATTATTTTGAATTGGTCTAGTGAAATTAATTGAATGTTTTCTGTGGTTTAAAATGGTTAATGTGATTACAAATAAATATATTCTTTACGATTTCTAATCTTCTGGTACATTTTGGTGATATTACGTTCTTATATTCCATTTTTAATTTGATTCTTTACAACAGAAATTAGACCATTGTTGCCAGATGTGACATGGATATTTTAAACGGGGATTTGATGGCTAATTAATGACGCGTACAAATGTATTTCTAGTTATTCTCCTTATAGGATGTTATTAGGTAGAAATTGCGCACTTCTTATTTCACTTAGCATGCAAAGACTGAGGCATTATTCATTATCAAAGTATTTAGGGTAGGATCGTTATAGGCGAATAACATGGACGCTGTGATTGGATTATAATTGTATTTAAAATGGCAAAACAGACACAACAATGCTCTACCATCACTTTAGAGGCGTGTGACTTCAACTGAATGTGTGTTCCAGTGGCTTTGCATTCTTTCTTGTATGAACGCTTGTGAAAGAATACAACCTGGTCAAATATAGGAGAATAGCGAGGAATCTAACTTAATTTTCTCCCCGACTGATTTAGTAAAGAACAACACAGCACCTGACATGGTCAGATTTGTACATCAGATAAAAGGAGAGTCTTTAAGTCCACTTTAGTATCAGGAATGATCATTTAATATACGCACATACATACATGCATACCTATATACCTAAAGCGCGTAGCCAAAACGGGATGACGTAAGCTGTTGTGAGACGCGCGTAACCAGCAAGCTGACGCATTTAAGGGGTTGAAATACGTGTATTTTGATCAGCAGAAAATAAATAAAATCAATGACAATAAGAATATCAAGTACTCAAGTGATACATATTTCTCCATAAATAAATTTCTACAAATAAGCAGCGATTTTGCTCCGAAGAATGGTCTTTGTGCTATGCTGCTTCTTTAAAAAGGGATCGATTTCAACCATCTATATCGGTGTCACAGTTTTCATGTCATCTGTTACAGTTTCACATAAAAGAAAAAATACTTTTGTCGATTCTTTTCACCATTGTTGCAATTAAGTTATTGAAATGTCGCCAGACGACCTTTAAAAATGTTGCCAAAGGTTTTTTTTCTGGTGTGTTGTGACCAGTTATGTTATTTCGTTCTATATACAGGCAATGAGGAAAATTGGCGTGTCAGATATATAGTTTCTGGACATAAGAAATGACCCGAGCGTACAAGGTGACGGTCAACCACTGATGGTTCAATTTCGAGAGCTTATTTTTGCTAAAGACTGAAATGCTTGGTCTATGAAAAGGACAGACCAGTCTAAAGCAGAGGTGAATAGTAGGGAAAAGGAGAGCACGAGGTATAGGTCGTCAACAAGGACAAAAACAAAAAAAAGCAATTAGCGTCCGTTCCTTTTTGATATATTTCAGACTTCTTGTCATATTTTAAGGAGGGTTGTGAAGAGTAGTGGTGGTACACCCGAGTTTTCTTTCTAATCAGGCGATATTTGGGGTAGAATTTCGTGTCATTGAAATCCCGGGTCCTCATGACATTGATTAATGGGACCGACTCAATGTGAACCCGTGGAGACACCGAACGATTTTAAAAACCCTCATACGGCAAACAGCTAGCAATAAATAAGAGGCACTAAACTTGTACAATTCTCTTCAAAAGTTGAGATATCATTACACACAAATTTCTCTGATTCACTGTTTGAAACGGGCCTTAGTGTATCAGTGTTTTTTCTTCTCCCATTGTCTGGGGACTAAATTTGATACTCCGCTCTAGCAGATGGTCTAAAGGTAATGTCTTCGCATACTATCACGACCATTACACAACACTTGGCATAGCAATATTGATGTGCGGCAAAGACGTTTGTTGTGCACTGAATTTCCTTGGAGTATGATTTCAGAACCATCCTAGATTTGATAAAGAACTTAACCTCAATTTCAACAGTTTTGCTCTCTCTCTCTCTCTCTCTCTCTCTCTCTCTCTCTGTTTGTGTGTGTGTGTGTCATGACGAAATTGAGCTTTAAAGACCAATAAAACATTTAAAAATCGGCCCATGTTCGACAATCGGCTGATAGTATACCGGGATGTGTAAATAACATACATGAAATGCCCTTGCAAACGTATTTCACTCCAGATACATATAATTAAAGAAAATTTAAGGTATGGACCTGCTAATTTGCTAACTAAATTGTGATCAGTGCAAACTAGAGCACTCTCTTACTGCATGTTTTTATATATATTTTCATACAATACCCGCACTGCATAATTTTTTTCATTATTGAAAAACAAAGTTTTAAAATATGATCAGATTCAGACCACATTTAAAATCGATTTACTCTACAAATACGGTAAGAAAAAACAAAAACAACAACGACGGCGGATAGGAAAAGCCCCAAGAAACAAGTTTTCATAGGCCATTTCAGTAACTCGGCGATATAACCATTCAAAGGTTTTACAAGACACATGACTCGCACTTTAATGACCTTGGTAGTTTTCACCTACAGCAGCACGGCGTTGCGTGGAGTTATTCTCCTACTGGTATAAGTACGCACCTGGTTGCCGTTCATCATTTTTAGAACTGATAAGGCTGACAAAAAACAATTCATAAAACAATGAATATATTTTTGGGTTCATTTTATATAATGCGACACGGAAGGAAAGCTCTTTATGGATATTCATTTAGAAGAGACAACTTTTGAAGTTGCCGAAGTCGTTGGCATAAATAAAGTTATTTGGTGATGCTGATTATCTGAATTTTTTTCTTTGGGATTTTTTTTGTTTGTTACCAGAATGCAATATAAAAGTACTTATCTCGCATGCCCAGTGATATTTATAAATCCTTAAGTATATTTAAAATAAACACGGAAATAAACCAAAGGTAAAAAAGAGGTTTTGCCAATCACAATGATAATGTCCTCTTTTGTTTTTCTGGTTTACCATATTATTGACTTTGTGGTCAGGCCCGGAAATCTTCACAGAGGTTGTATCACATCAAAGCGTACTTATATACTGAATAATTACTTTTTACATTTCCGATTTCCAAACGAGGAAAAATGTAACCGCGCGTTCAGTGTAGGCCTATCACTTTTTTCAAATGCATACATACTTTTTATATACTAAGACGAAAATCCTTCTATTTTTAGGATGCAGAGAGACGTCTTTCATTTATTCTATTACAAGTGCGGCAGTGACGTATCAGCTCGCACGGGCGTGCGCCGAGGGCATCATCTCAACATGCACGTGCGACTACAGGCAACTCCGGTACCCGAGTGTAGACCAGAGTGGGAAACCCTGGGAATGGGGAGGTTGCAGCGATAACATGGAATTCGGTCTGCGGTTTGGGAAATCGTTCACAGACGGCGTTGAAAAAGGCAGAGACTTGAGATATATAATGAACAGGCATAATAATGGCGCTGGACGCCTGGTAAGTATTTTTTTCCAAGATTTAAGTTGTAACAAAGACAAATAAGATTCCACAAAACTTTATAAACAACGACAAAAAAATTGAGGCACCGCTCTATGAAATATCGAGAGAGATAAAACATGTTTAGTTTTCGATTTTGATGTAAAAAATACTTCCAACGGAAATTTATAAAAAGAAAAAAAAAACATTGACTCCCACTACAAACTGCCATACACCCACCCACTGTGTAATAGGCCTAGAGAACGATGGTTATAATGAAGCACAGTTAGAATAAATGTTACTTCAAATTAGATTATCCAACGAGATAGCCACGCCTTTTGTTATGTGGCCCCAAGACACGCCAAACTCCCATATATTTTGTCAACGTACAACCATGGTCTCGTTTTCAATCCACTACAGTCGGCTGCAGATGAATGGACCCAGCTTTCGATTCTCTTCTCTCTTTTCGCTATAACCATTCATCATTTGCCCCATTTACCTGTTTTGTGGTGACTTCAAATGTTGTAACCACATGCCATAATATAATGATTTTATAAAAGATGATAAGATATAAGATAAGTTAAAAATTATGAATGGGTCCGTCTCTCTTTTTCAGTAAATATTTTTCATGAAGTACACGTATGGGATTTATATACACAATGATTTTACTGAAGTTATTTCAGTTACATAAGCCCCTTCTGATTGCGGATCTTTTTTTATTTCACAGCTTCAGTTTTGTCGAATGCTTTAAGTGGATAGCTCAGTTCGCAATGGGCTGTTTTCGATTGATCTAATTGGACGCCAAATGGATTGATGATATTAATATATGTCATAGGACAATTAAGTTCGATTACATTTGAATTTTTGTGTATTTTTGATTGGTAAAATGGTCTACATGTACTCTGGCGAAAGGGGGGATTTGGCGTTAGAATTTCATCAATGTATAACTGAACTAATGGCAAATTCGAATACTCTAGGAAGACAAAACATAATGAATTAATCCAAAAGCCTACTGGCATTATTTTGTTAATCATCAGTACGAATACGATAGTAAAACAGATGAAAATTAGACCTGCATGCTCGGGACCGCATCCTCTTTCCACCGTACACACACCATCCCACCCCACCCCCACCCCCGTAAGTCCGAAACTATTTTGAAGAAGGTCCAAAATTAGTCTATTAAAAGTATGTCCCTCATCATAAATGCAACGTTAACCAATTTATTCGGATATATATATAATTTATTCCTGTGACCGGACGCTTGTCTGGCCTCGTTAGCCGCTTCAAAGACAAAGGGAGATCCCAGAGATGTACCTATCTCTTTGAGACGCTACACCTTCAGACAGGGTGTCGGGCAATAATAGTAGTGTAAGTCTGGCGTGGACTTAACTGGAAGGACAATCAAACGTCGTGTCGCCAACAAGCCCATAAATTTTCAATTAATTTCAACATTGAAATTCTTTCCTGTCGTAGGCATATATCACCACGGTATTAAAACAAATTAAACGCCTATGCTAAACAGTACCAATTAACAACTTCTACGTGAGAGTGTAAGAGATACCCAGATAATGGCTTTTGATGAATTGCATCAATTTTTATTCTCGGCTACCTTTTGTTCCCCCTTAAATTACACATTCCATTTCTTTGGCCATAACCCTCTTTATCTAGAAGATAACATTTTTGACTAACAGGGTATAATAAAGCGAAAACCTATTCTAATGTTTTGTCTCAGTGACAGACATTTTGGTCTTTTCGCCCAACGGTTTATTGCCCTGTTAAGAGACACCGTAGAGAATCAGTTGCGTCATAAAGCTTACACACCGTGAAGGCGTCAATAGCGGCGTTAAGACATCCTGTAGAATAATACCAGAAACTGTAAATCAGTCTCACTGATTACCACTTTACAAAAAGGAAAATGCATTTTGTCTGAGGTTATTGCTTACAGCTTTATTTATACGATAGTAAAACAGGGTGTGCCCTTTGCTAAGAAAATAAAAAGGCCCGCATCCAAACCCAAGGTGATTAGAATTCTGAAATGTAACTTGTTGTGATCAAATTATCAAGAGTGATAAATAATAAATAAACAATAACTAGAATGGTTCTGACGAATTTTTAAAATTGTTTAAATGTAATTGTTTTAAGAAAGGAAGAAAGAATTGGATAAGGAAGAGAATTTGCAAACAACATAGCTTTTTGAATTTCTTTTCGGGGGGGGGGGGGGGATCTTTTTTCGAACGCGTGAAGTTGTTGTTGTTGTTACTGCTTCAACAAACAACACACTGATATTGATAAGGCGCCCAGAACTTATTCCTTGATTCTGTGTATATATATCATATCGGTAGAACATCTACGAAAAAAAAATATAATTTATTAAATGCTTAATATCCTCTTAAATATGTTTGCATATTTCAGTTACGTGAACTATACGCTTAGCTTGATTAAACAAATTAATTTAATAAAAGATTTGATTGTGATTAAAATGATTATTTCAAGACTTTTAATTGTGAAGATTACAGGATACAAATTAATTTTCGGCTAATATCTAGTCAAAGGAAAGGGTCCGTGAAAATGGCGATAAAAAACGTTCAGTTTAATATTTGATCAATTTTTACATAACAGCTATTCTTTTGTAATATTGTGCATTAATGCATTTAACTTTTTTTTTCATTTTTTAAGCATGTACAAAATCAAATGGAGAGAGACTGTAAATGCCATGGAATGTCAGGAAGCTGTACAGTAAAGACATGTTGGATGAGATTGCCAAAATTTAGAACAGTGGGCGATTTAATAAAAGGACGATTTGACGGAGCATCGAGAGTTTATCAAGGTAAATCAAACGACGGTCGATTGTTTCTCCTTTTCTTACTTGAAGAAGTAAAGGGTTTGTGCAGTGTTTTTTAAGTAGATGGTTTTGATTTATTGATATTCCTAGTACTTTTAATTTCAGTTTCATTTATGGCTTAAAAGCACCGGTGTAGGGTTGTTTAAGTAATTCTTATGATTGTTTTATTTTATGGATTGAATCTGATATCTTGTTGGATACATATATTTGAGTAACAGCTTTATGATAATGTGGACAAATATTAATAGTTTTTTAATGGGCAACATATCCAACCCCACCGTACAAACCCGCATGCGCTTTGTATAGCTTAGTATCAAGCTTTACTCTTGTCTGGCAGGTTTGGCCGGCAAATAAATAAATTAATTTGGGCTTGGGATTTTTCTAAATTTAAATTTGCGTCCGCTTGATACCTAGGCCACCACGAAGAGTCGCCATTAGAACATTTTTCATAGCTGCGGTGGCCCATGGTTTTGACGACGCATCTTTCACGAGGTGACGGTGTCTTGGCTGGTAAAATAACGATTTAAAATGGGCTCCCCTATTAACAACGGGTAAGACTAACCAGATAAATCTTCCTTCCTATTAAAAAGAGCGCCGAAATAAAACAATTTCTACCATTCCCTTTGAACTTTGCTCGCACTAGGGGTCTGTCTGGGGGACAGCGCGCTGTGCCGAGGGTTCGCTGTGCCGAGGGTTCGCTGTGCCGACAAAACCGGAAAATTGGTCTAAAATCGGCTAAGTTTTCCGGAGCCCCAAAATCAAAGGTTCGCTATGCCGAAGGTTCGCTGTGCCGAAAGGATCTGGTTCGCTGTGCCGAGGGTTCGCTGCGCCGAAAAAGTCGGCTACCCATCACCCATTGTGCTTGTTATATAACGTGACGAGCAGTGGCCTTTTTTTAAAATAAACGAGTTTAAAAAGTTCTTTTCTTCCATCCGTACCATTTGAATTTGTTAAAACTGCGCATTGAAAGTTAATCCTAATGGACATAAACATCTTAAATCGCTTTAAATAATCAGTTCTGTAAGTTAATTTATTAATTATTTTTGGCACTATGGGCGTCACCCACTTTAGGAAATTACTGAAAGAAAACATTCTCTAATTATTTTTGGCGAACTTGTAGTTATTGGGTGTGTGTAAAATTAACATCTTTTTATTTATTATCATTATACTTTTAGTAGTCGTTATTGTCACATGCAGTTATTTTAGCTTCGTATTTTTGTTATTATCTATTTAATTACTATTTATTATTTATTTAATGACATATAGTTTTATATTTGATTAGTTTTGGCCGGGGGTCGTCGTAGAAAATAAAGAATCCTTGAACAATCCTAGCAATAATCCTAATAAAAGTGGAGCAGTCACATTGTCACAGAGATTTTTTCAAGGATTTTGACCCGGTTTTGGCGAAAAATCGTGGGATTAGCCTCCGATTGCATCGGAGGCGATCGGAGACGATTTCTGCGAGCGTCTTTTCTCGTAATTTTTTTTCCCCTGGGTATATGTGGTTATATATGGGTATATATTCGGAGGACGCCTCCGATTAATCGGAGGGCATCGTAGGTCATCGGAGATTGTGTCTGGGATGCCCAAAATGGGTGAAAAATCTTGCGAGCAATCTTAAAATTTTAAGTTCAAAGTTGGGGACCGCGACGGGTGTGGCGATGTCTAAAAAATCTGCGACAACCCGCAGGCGTCCGGAGAGCGCCTCCGACGGGTGCAAAATCGTGAGATCTGTCTCAAGATTTTGTGAAAATTTCCCGGGAAAAAAAGGTATTTTTTTCAAAATATTTTCTTCAAAGTATGGGCTATCTAACTCTACGATGGCTTCGGCATAGCGAGCTGTCGACGCAGCGAACCTTTCGGCACAAAATAAAAACAATCGGCATAGCGAACCCTCGGCATAGCGAACCTTCGGCTCAGCGAACCTTCGGCATAGCGAACCCTCGGCACAGCGAACCTTCGGCATAGCGAACCCTCGGCACAGCGAACCTTCGGCATAGCGAAGCGCACCCTCTGTCTGTACATCCTCTATTCAAGCAAGCATGTAAAATGCTCCCGCCTTTCTTCCCACACAAAAACCGTGGTCAGGGATGAGGTATTTTATTATCAATCAGGGGTAAAAACGGTTTTAAAAGTTCACCCCACTTTTCACAGTAGATAGCTATGATCTCTGGTTTGGTGGCCACGCATCTAGAGGCGGGGTCTCCCTGTAGTCAAAAGATCATTAAGAGCTTGAATCTCAACATCAGAAGGATAAACACTTCGAACAAATACACTGAGTGGACAATGGGCGACTTGGAGCCACGCCGTTGCAATTTAGAGTCAATTGGAAGAAAGTATACCCCGCACACGTATCAGGTTTTCTTTCAAAGCCCCAAGACCCCGGTGGATAAAGTGAAATATGAAAGGATGAGAACACAGACAAGTTACAAAACGAGCGCCATGCACAATGCTCGATGATAGGGTATTCTGTGTCATAATGATAGCGTAGAGTTAATATTTGAATTAGGAAGATAGCTCTCCTTTAACTTCAAACAAGTGCCGATATAGGTGACAAAACTGCTGTCTGCCTGTTGAATCAGCGTGGTTGTTTATGCCCTTTCCGTGCGCTAGGGGTGGGGGTGGGGGCAAAAAGGACGGAGATAAAGCGATTGAATATGTTTACTTTTCCATTTTCGTCCAAACCAAAATAAAAGCTCGGGTTTTATTTGCGTTCCGTCTGTTTGTTATTCGAGACCGAAATGGCCCGTCGTGTACGCTAAAGTGTACACCGTTCAAGAATGCAGCCTTGTGATTTTTCTAAGCGTGTAACATTTCTTACTTGTCCACTTCTTGTATCCGTGTTTTCTGAACCAGATTCNGAACAAATACACTGAGTGGACAATGGGCGACTTGGAGCCACGCCGTTGCAATTTAGAGTCAATTGGAAGAAAGTATACCCCGCACACGTATCAGGTTTTCTTTCAAAGCCCCAAGACCCCGGTGGATAAAGTGAAATATGAAAGGATGAGAACACAGACAAGTTACAAAACGAGCGCCATGCACAATGCTCGATGATAGGGTATTCTGTGTCATAATGATAGCGTAGAGTTAATATTTGAATTAGGAAGATAGCTCTCCTTTAACTTCAAACAAGTGCCGATATAGGTGACAAAACTGCTGTCTGCCTGTTGAATCAGCGTGGTTGTTTATGCCCTTTCCGTGCGCTAGGGGTGGGGGTGGGGGCAAAAAGGACGGAGATAAAGCGATTGAATATGTTTACTTTTCCATTTTCGTCCAAACCAAAATAAAAGCTCGGGTTTTATTTGCGTTCCGTCTGTTTGTTATTCGAGACCGAAATGGCCCGTCGTGTACGCTAAAGTGTACACCGTTCAAGAATGCAGCCTTGTGATTTTTCTAAGCGTGTAACATTTCTTACTTGTCCACTTCTTGTATCCGTGTTTTCTGAACCAGATTCCCCCTGTTTGTCACTGTCATTCGATCTATCTCATCTTACCTTCGTCTTGCTTGCCTACACAAGCAGATAAAATGCTCTTTCAAACTTACTCATGTTCACATTTTTCTTTCTGTTCTCGGCGTAAATTTCGCCCTATCTTAATTTCAATCAAAATTGCCAGGTACAAAATTCTTATAACAACGGATACGGGTGGGAGATCAGAGGCATTGAAGGCTATGTAACTATTCACTTTGTGTTTATTTTGATCCAAAAGTAACACTAACATGTATTTAAGTGTTCTCGGGGGTGGTTGATTATCCTGAATACTGGCAGATGAATCTAGCAGGGGAATGACAGCCCAGGTATTACAAAAAGAGGATTATAATCATGCACAACAGGTGCCCTTTCAAGGATCTTGTTTGGGACGAGCATGTATAACCTCATAGAACCATATATGTTAACTGGCTTATGTGAGCAAGAAAGGCGCCATCGCCGCACCCAGCGCGGTAGAACAGGAAGATGTCCGCCTGAGTGAAGGACATTAGACAGTCCTTCAGGCGGCCCAGTCGAACGTGATTCTCCCACATATAGCACACTTGGGTGCTATCGTCTAGCACCCATGCTATTTCAGTAAAAATTGAAATGCTGTCGGCTTTGCCACCTTTAATTTAGCTTGTTGGACTCGTTTTGAAATTTCAATAGGTATGCCTTTCATCTTATAAGTTTTGACTTGTTTTGTTTTACCTGTCATCAACATGATTGCTTGATACGTAAGGTACCCATTCCCTGCTCATAGCGCTACTTTGATACTAATTATTTTACTAAACCCTGTTTGGCTCGTACATCATACTTTTCGATCTGAACTAAAAAGATGGTACAACAAATTTCTCAGTGCATCTTTTAAGCGCCATTTCTCTCCATAAGAAATTTCCTAAGATTTTCTTTCTTGGTTGTTTGTATATAATGCCATAAATTGTTCTAACCCGTGGGTGTGGTCTACATTAAGCTGGAATTGTGCACAGGGTATATAAGCTCTAAGTCGTTCTCAACAAAAAACGAGGACGCTAACTTGACGTTATTTTATCATCTCATCTAACTGAAGCTAAAAACATATATTCACGTATATACAGTTGTGCACATTGCCAAGCAGAATGATGGCTGAATATAGATACTAGCTGTGGTAGCAATGTAAGGTTTGTTTTTTTCTTGTGGGGCCATGTTAATTTTCACCTCCAAGCCCCTTGGTTTCTGTAGAGGAAGGTTTGCTCCTGCCTGATAGCAAAGTGGCGGTGCGCATGTGTATGAAACTAATACATGTACAAGTGATTTTGGTTCAAACATGCACGTGAAATGTGGGCTTTACTAAACCCTGCCATGCTATATGGACTTATGAAAATAAGTCGNTGGGGGCTACATTTGATACTCCGCTCTAGCAGATGGTCTAAAGGTAATGTCTTCGCATACTATCACGACCATTACACAACACTTGGCATAGCAATATTGATGTGCGGCAAAGACGTTTGTTGTGCACTGAATTTCCTTGGAGTATGATTTCAGAACCATCCTAGATTTGATAAAGAACTTAACCTCAATTTCAACAGTTTTGCTCTCTCTCTCTCTCTCTCTCTCTCTCTCTCTGTGTGTGTGTGTGTGTGTGTCATGACGAAATTGAGCTTTAAAGACCAATAAAACATTTAAAAATCGGCCCATGTTCGACAATCGGCTGATAGTATACCGGGACGTGTAAATAACATACATGAAATGCCCTTGCAAACGTATTTCACTCCAGATACATATAATTAAAGGAAATTTAAGGTATAGACCTGCTAATTTGCTAACTAAATTGTGATGAGTGCAAACTAGAGCACTCTCTTACTGCATGTTTTTTATATATTTTCATACAATACCCGCACTGCATAATTTTTTCATTATTGAAAAACAAAGTTTCAAAACATGCTCAGGTTTAGACCACATTTAAAATCGATTTACTCTACAAATACGGTAAGAAAAAACAAAAACAACAACGACGGCGGATAGGAAAAGCCCCAAGGAACAAGTTTTCATAGGCCATTTCAGTAACTCGGCGATATAACCATTCAAAGGTTTTACAAGACACATGACTCGCACTTTAATGACCTTGGTAGTTTTCACCTACAGCAGCACGGCGTTGCGTGGAGTTATTCTCCTACTGGTATAAGTACGCACCTGGTTGCCGTTCATCATTTTTAGAACTGATAAGGCTGACAAAAAACAATTCATAAAACAATGAATATATTTTTGGGTTCATTTTATATAATGCGACACGGAAGGAAAGCTCTTTATGGATATTCATTTAGAAGAGACAACTTTTGAAGTTGCCGAAGTCGTTGGCATAAATAAAGTTATTTGGTGATGCTGATTATCTCAATTTTTTTCTTTGGGTTTTTTTTTTTGTTTGTAACCAGAATGCAATATAAAAGTACTTATCTCGCATGCCCATTGATATTTATAAATCCCTAAGTATATTTAAAATAAACACGGAAATAAACCAAAGGTAAAAAAGAGGTTTTGCCAATCACAATGATAATGTCCTCTTTTGTTTTTCTGGTTTACCATATTATTGACTTTGTGGTCAGGCCCGGAAATCTTCACAGAGGTTGTATCACATCAAAGCGTACTTATATACTGAATAATTACTTTTTACATTTCCGATTTCCAAACGAGGAAAAATGTAACCGCGCGTTCAGTGTAGGCCTATCACTTTTTTCAAATGCATACATACTTTTTATATACTAAGACGAAAATCCTTCTATTTTCAGGATGCAGAGAGACGTCTTTCATTTATTCTATTACAAGTGCGGCAGTGACGTATCAGCTCGCACGGGCGTGCGCCGAGGGCATCATCTCAACATGCACGTGCGACTACAGGCAACTCCGGTACCCGAGTGTGGACCAGAGTGGGAAACCCTGGGAATGGGGAGGTTGCAGCGATAACATGGAATTCGGTCTGCGGTTTGGGAAATCGTTCACAGACGGCGTTGAAAAAGGCAGAGACTTGAGATATATAATGAACAGGCATAATAATGGCGCTGGACGCCTGGTAAGTATTTTTTTCCAAGATTTTAGTTGTAACAAAGACAAAGAAGATTCCAGTAAACTTTATAAACAACGACAAAAAAAAAAAAAAAAAAAAAAAAATTGAGACACCGCTCGGTGAAATATCGAGAGAGAAAAAATATGTTTAGCTTTTGATTTTGATGTCAAAAATACTTCCAACGGAAATTTATAAAAAGAAAAAAAACATTGACTCCCACTACTAACTGCCTTACACCCACCCACTGTGTAATAGGCCTAGAGAACGATGGTTATAATGAAGCACAGTTAGAATAAATGTTACTTCAAATTAGATTATCCGACGAGATAGCCACGCCTTTTGTTATGTGGCCCCAAGACACGCCAAACTCCCATATATTTTGTCAACGTACAACCATGGTCTCGTTTTCAATCCACTACAGTCGGCTGCAGATGAATGGACCCAGCGTTCGATTCTCTTCTCTCTTTTTTCTATAACCATTCATCATTTGCCCCATTTACCTGTTTTGTGGTGACTTCAAATGTTGTAACCACATGCCATAATATAATGATTTTATAAAAGATGATAAGATATGAGATAAGTTAAAAATTATGAATGGGTCCGTCTCTCTTTTCCAGTAAATATTTTTCATGGAGTACAGACTACACGTATGGGATTTATATACACAATGATTTTACTGTTATTTCAGTTACATAAGCCCCTTCTGATTGCGGATCATTTTTTTTTATTTCACAGCCTCAATTTTGTCGAATGCTTTAAGTGGATAGCTCAGTTCGCAACGGGCTGTTTTCGATTAGTAATTGGATGCCAAATGGATTGATGATATTTAAAAATGTCGTAGGACAATTAAGTTCGATTACATTTGAATTTTCTGTCTTTTTGATTGGTAAAATGGTCTACTCTGGCGTGAATATATGTGCAAACGAAAGGGGGGGGATTTAGCGCTAGAATTTCATGAATGTTGAACTGAACTAATAGCAAATTCGAATACTCTAGGAAGACAAAACATAATAAATTAATCCAAAAGCCTACTGGCATTATTTTGTTAATCACCAGTACGAATAATAAAGATGAAAATCAGACCTGCATGCGCGGGACCGCATCATCTTTCCACCGTGTACATACCCCCCCCCCCACCACTCCCCACCCCCCGTAAGGCCGAAACTATTTTGAAGAAGGTCGAAAGTTAGTTTATTAAAAGTATGTCCCTCATCATAAATGCAACGTTAACCAATTTATTCGGATATATATATAATTTATTCCTGTGACCGGACGCTTGTCTGGCCTCGTTAGCCGCTTCAAAGACAAAGGGAGATCCCAGAGATGTACCTATCTCTTTGAGACGCTACACCTTCAGACAGGGTGTCGGGCAATAATAGTAGTAGTGTAAGTCTGGCGTGGACTTAACTGGAAGGACAATCAAACGTCGTGTCGCCAACAAGCCCATAAATTTTCAATTAATTTCAACATTGAAATTCTTTCCTGTCGTAGGCATATATCACCACGGTATTAAAACAAATTAAACGCCTATGCTAAACAGTACCAATTAACAACTTCTACGTGAGAGTGTAAGAGATACCCAGATAATGGCTTTTGATGAATTGCATCAATTTTTATTCTCGGCTACCTTTTGTTCCCCCTTAAATTACACATTCCATTTCTTTGGCCATAACCCTCTTTATCTAGAAGATAACATTTTTGACTAACAGGGTATAATAAAGCGAAAACCTATTCTAATGTTTTGTCTCAGTGACAGACATTTTGGTCTTTTCGCCCAACGGTTTATTGCCCTGTTAAGAGACACCGTAGAGAATCAGTTGCGTCATAAAGCTTACACACCGTGAAGGCGTCAATAGCGGCGTTAAGACATCCTGCAGAATAATACCAGAAACTGTAAATCAGTCTCGTTGATTACCACTTTACAAAAAGGAAAATGCATTTTGTCTGAGGTTATTGCTTACAGCTTTATTTATACGATAGTAAAACAGGGTGTGCCCTTTGCTAAGAAAATAAAAAGGCCCGCATTCAAACCCAAGGTGATTAGAATTCTGAAATGTAACTCGTTGTGATCAAATTATCAAGAGCGATGAATAATAAATTAACAATAACTAGAATGGTTCTGGCGAATTTTTAAAATTGTTTAATTGTAATTATTTTAAGAAAGGAAGAAAAATTGGATAAGGAAGAGAATTTGCAAACAATATAGCTTTTTGAATTTCTTTTCGGGGGGGGGGGGAGCGGGTCTTTTTTTCGAACGCGTGAAGCACTTTTGTTGTTGTTGTTGTTACTGCATCAACAACAACACACTACTATTAATAAAACGCCCAGAACTTATTTCTTGATTCTGTGAATATATATCATAGCGGTAGAACATCTACGAAAAAACTATAATTTATTAAATGCTTAATATCCTCTTAAATATGTTTGCATATTTCAGTTACGTAAAATATTCACTTATCTTGATTTTGACAAAAATTTTGATTGTGATTAAAATGGTTATTTCAAGACTTTTAATTGTGAGATTACAGGACCCAAAATGATTTTCGGCTAATATCTAGTCAAAGGAAAGGGTCCTTGAAAATGGCGATAAAAACGTTCAGCTTACTATTTGATCAATTTTACATAACAGCTATTCTTTTGTAATATTGTGCATTATGCATTAAACATTTTTTTTTTCATTTTTTAAGCATGTACAAAATCAAATGGAGAGAGACTGTAAATGCCATGGAATGTCAGGAAGCTGTACAGTAAAGACATGTTGGATGAGATTGCCAAAATTTAGAACAGTGGGCGATTTAATAAAAGGACGATTTGACGGAGCATCGAGAGTTTATCAAGGTAAATCAAACGATGGTCGATTGTTTCTCCTTTTCTTACTTGAAGAAGTAAAGGGTTTGTGCAGTGTTTTTTAAGTAGATGGTTTTGATTTATTGATATTCCTAGTACTTTTAATTTCAGTTTCATTTATGGCTTAAAAGCACCGGTGTAGGGTTGTTTAAGTAATTCTTATGATTGTTTTATTTTATGGATTGATTCTGATATCTTGTTGGATACATATATTTGAGTAACAGCTCTATGATAATGTGGACAAATATTAATAGTTTTTTTAATGGGCAACATACCCAACCCCACCATACAAACCCGCATGCGCTTTGTATAGCTTAGTATCAAGCTTTACTCTTGTCTGGCAGGTTTGGTCGGCAAATAAATAAATTAATTTGGGCTTGGGATTTTTCTAAATTTAAATTTGCGTCCGCTTGATACCTAGGCCACCACGAAGAGTCTCCATTAGAGCATTTTTCATAGCTGCGGTGGTCCATGGTTTTGACGACGCATCTTTCAAGAGGTGACGGTGTCTTGGCTGGTAAAATAACGACTTAAAATGGGCTCCCCTATTAACAACGGGCAGAACTAACCAGATAAATCTTCCTTCCTATTAAAAAGAGCGCCGAAATAAAACAATTTCTACCATTCCCTTTGAACTTTGCTCGCACTAGGGGTCTGTCTGTACATCCTTCATTCAAGCAAGCATGTAAAATGCTCCCGCTTTTCTTCCCACACAAAACCGTGGTCAGGGATGAGGTATTTTATTATCAATCAGGGGTAAAAACAGTTTTAAAAGTTCACCCCACTTTTTACAGTAGATAGCTATGATCTCTGGTTTGGTGGCCACGCATCTAGAGGCGGGGTCTCCCTGTGGTCAAAAGATCATTAAGAGCTTGAATCTCAACATCAGAAGGATAAACACTTCACACAAATACACTGAGTGGACAATGGGCGACTTGGAGCCACGCCGTTGCAATTTAAAGTCAATTGGAAGAAAGTATACCCCGCACACGTATCAGGTTTTCTTTCAAGGCCCCAAGACCCCGGTGGATAAAGTGAAATATGAAAGGATGAGAACACAGACAAGTTACAAAACGAGCGCCATGCACAATGCTCGATGATAGGGTATTCTGTGTCATAATGATAGCGTAGAGTTAATATTTGAATTAGGAAGATAGCTCTCCTTTAACTTCAAACAAGTGCCGATATAGGTGACAAAACTGCTGTCTGCCTGTTGAATCAGCGTGGTTGTTTATGCCCTTTCCGTGCGCTAGGGGTGGGGGTGGGGGCAAAAAGGACGGAGATAAAGCGATTGAATATGTTTACTTTTCCATTTTCGTCCAAACCAAAATAAAAGCTCGGGTTTTATTTGCGTTCCGTCTGTTTGTTATTCAAGACCAAAATGGCCCGTCGTGTACGCTAAAGTGTACACCGTTCAAGAATGCAGCCTTGTGATTTTTCTAAGCGTGTAACATTTCTTACTTGTCCACTTCTTGTATCCGTGTTTTCTGAACCAGATTCCCCCTGTTTGTCACTGTCATTCGATCTATCTCATCTTACCTTCGTCTTGCTTGCCTACACAAGCAGATAAACTGCTCTTTCAAACTTACTCATGTTCACATTTTTCTTTCTGTTCTCGGCGTAAATTTCGCCCTATCTTAATTTCAATCAAAATTGCCAGGTACAAAATTCTTATAACAACGGATACGGGTGGGAGATCAGAGGCATTGAAGGCTATGTAACTATTCACTTTGTGTTTATTTTGATCCAAAAGTAACACTAACATGTATTTAAGTGTTCTCGGGGGTGGTTGATTATCCTGAATACTGGCAGATGAATCTAGCAGGGGAATGACAGCCCAGGTATTACAAAAAGAGGATTATAATCATGCACAACAGGTGCCCTTTCAAGGATCGTGTTTGGGACGAGCATGTATAACCCCATAGAACCATATATGTTAACTGGCTTATGTGAGCAAGAAAGGCGCCATCGCCGCACCCAGCGCGGTAGAACAGGAAGATGTCCGCCTGAGTGAAGGACATTAGACAGTCCTTCAGGCGGCCCAGTCGAACGTGATTCTCCCACATATAGCACACTTGGGTGCTATCGTCTAGCACCCATGCTATTTCAGTAAAAATTGAAATGCTGTCGGCTTTGCCACCTTTAATTTAGCTTGTTGGACTCGTTTTGAAATTTCAATAGGTATGGCTTTCATCTTATAAGTTTTGACTTGTTTTACCTGTCATCAACATGATTGCTTGATACGTAAGGTACCCATTCCCTGCTCATAGTGCTACTTTAATACTAATCATTCAACTAAACCCTGTTTGGCTCGTACGTCATACTTTTCGATCTGAACTAAAAAGATGGTACAACAAATTTCTCAGTGCATCTTTTAAGCACCATTTCTCTCCATAAGAAATTTCCGAAGATTTTCTTTCTTGGTTGTTTCTATATAATGCCATTAATAGTTCTAATCCGTGGGTGTGGTCTACATTGAGCTGGAATTGTGCACAGGGTATATAAGCTCTAAGTCGTTCTCAACAAAAAAACGAGGACGCTAACTTGACGTTATTTTATCATCTCATCTAACTGAAGCTAAAAACATATATTCACGTATATACAGTTGTGCACATTGCCAAGCAGAATGATGGCTGAATATAGATACTAGCTGTGGTAGCAATGTAAGGTTTGTTTTTTTCTTGTGGGGCCATGTTAATTTTCACCTCCAAGCCCCTTGGTTTCTGTAGAGGAAGGTTTGCTCCTGCCTGATAGCAAAGTGGCGGTGCGCATGTGTATCAAACTAATACATGTACAAGTGATTTTGGTTCAAACATGCACGTGAAATGTGGGCTTTACTAAACCCTGCCATGCTATATGGACTTATGAAAATAAGTCCTATGCATGGGGTGGAAACATTTGAATTGAAAGAAAATTTTTGGTCCTCAACAAAATGTATTGGTTTTCTTTACCAGGAAACCAAGGGGGCTTGGAACAAGGTTAGTATGGCGCTGGACATCCCTGGTTTTGCTGGGAAGTCCATGTCTTCAAGCTCAGTAAGACTATGCAAATGCATTTGTAGTGGACCGATTAGAAACGGTTATAGCGCAATTAAAAAGCACAGCAAATGACCGATCACTCACACAAGCCTTAGAAGTATTATCACTTAGTATATGGCCACATTTCATCCCCCAAACCAATAATAATAATAATAATAGTGATATAACTGCTTTTAAACGATACTTTGTTTCCTACACTGGTGTTAACAGAAATACTGCTTTTTCTTAATATGACTACCTTATATATGCTTTTATATATCTGCTTCATTTATTTCCTCTATTTTTGCAGGGAACTCTGGTCGAGGACGAGGACGGAAACCAAATCTGCTTCCAGTCAATGTTAACCACAAAGCCCCCAGTAAAAAAGACTTAGTTTACTACGAAGATTCTCCATCTTTCTGCGAATACGACCCCAGCACCGGGTTCAAAGGAACGACGGGAAGGGAGTGTAACGCAACGTCCATAGGGGTAGACGGCTGCGACTTACTCTGCTGCGGTCGCGGACATAAAAGTGAAAGTTATACTTCTCAAGAGAGATGCAGCTGCACGTTTCAGTGGTGCTGTAAAGTACATTGTGAGATATGCACGAGAGTGAAAATAAGACACACGTGCAAGTAAGACAGCATGACATTGCGTGTGTGTCCCTGTGATTTTTTCATTCCGATTGCCAAAAAAAACCCCGCAGCGACGGCGAAAAGAGAAAGGTGCTTAACTGTAGAACTGAGACGCACAAGACTTTACCAGAAGCTGAGAGCGTCGACAAGTGGAGTGCATTATTATGTGAAACTAGTTTCCAAATCAACGGGATTTTCCTTTTTAAATCTGCCAATGTAATGTTGACGATTTTTGCAAGTGGCGACACATGTCATTGACTTCACACGATCGCCGATGTTTACCTCGAAATGGCCACGTACTTTAGAAGTCAAGGGAGTGTCATAAGCATAAACCATGGCGGCGTATAGTGCCTTAAGTACCATCGTGCCCACCAAACCATTTCACCTCAAACGAAACACAGCTAAAATGTTTTTACGAAAAGGTAAATCGAGTACAGAAAATGATGTTGTGGTTCAACCGTTTATCAAGTACTTCATTAACCTCCTCTGTTTCTCTATANAAAAAACGAGGACGCTAACTTGACGTTATTTTATCATCTCATCTAACTGAAGCTAAAAACATATATTCACGTATATACAGTTGTGCACATTGCCAAGCAGAATGATGGCTGAATATAGATACTAGCTGTGGTAGCAATGTAAGGTTTGTTTTTTTCTTGTGGGGCCATGTTAATTTTCACCTCCAAGCCCCTTGGTTTCTGTAGAGGAAGGTTTGCTCCTGCCTGATAGCAAAGTGGCGGTGCGCATGTGTATGAAACTAATACATGTACAAGTGATTTTGGTTCAAACATGCACGTGAAATGTGGGCTTTACTAAACCCTGCCATGCTATATGGACTTATGAAAATAAGTCCTATGCATGGGGTGGAAACATTTGAATTGAAAGAAAATTTTTGGTCCTCAACAAAATGTATTGGTTTTCTTTACCAGGAAACCAAGGGGGCTTGGAACAAGGTTAGTATGGCGCTGGACATCCCTGGTTTTGCTGGGAAGTCCATGTCTTCAAGCTCAGTAAGACTATGCAAATGCATTTGTAGTGGACCGATTAGAAACGGTTATAGCGCAATTAAAAAGCACAGCAAATGACCGATCACTCACACAAGCCTTAGAAGTATTATCACTTAGTATATGGCCACATTTCATCCCCCAAACCAATAATAATAATAATAGTGATATAACTGCTTTTAAACGATACTTTGTTTCCTACACTGGTGTTAACAGAAATACTGCTTTTTCTTAATATGACTACCTTATATATGCTTTTATATATCTGCTTCATTTATTTCCTCTATTTTTGCAGGGAACTCCGGTCGAGGACGAGGACGGAAACCAAATCTGCTTCCAGTCAATGTTAACCACAAAGCCCCTAGTAAAAAAGACTTAGTTTACTACGAGGATTCTCCATCTTTCTGCGAATACGACCCCAGCACCGGGTTCAAAGGAACGACGGGAAGGGAGTGTAACGCAACGTCCATAGGGGTAGACGGCTGCGACTTACTCTGCTGCGGTCGCGGACATAAAAGTGAAAGTTATACTTCTCAAGAGAGATGCAGCTGCACGTTTCAGTGGTGCTGTAAAGTACATTGTGAGATATGCACGAGGGTGAAAATAAGACACACGTGCAAGTAAGACAACATGACAATGCGTGTGTGTCCCTGTGATTTTTTCATTCCGATTGCCAAAAAAACCCCGCAGCGACGGCGAAAAGAGAAAGGTGCTTAACTGTAGAACTGAGACGCACAAGACTTTACCAGAAGCTGAGAGCGTCGACAAGTGGAGTGCATTATTATGTGAAACTAATTTCGAAATCAACGGGATTTTCCTTTTTAAATCTGCCAATGTAATGTTGACGATTTTTGCAAGTGGCGACACATGTCATTGACTTCACACGATCGCCGATGTTTACCTCGAAATGGCCACGTACTTTAGAAGTCAAGGGAGTGTCATAAGCATAAACCATGGCGGCGTATAGTGCCTTAAGTACCATCGTGCCCACCAAACCATTTCACCTCAAACGAAACACAGCTAAAATGTTTTTACGAAAAGGTAAATCGAGTACAGAAAATGATGTTGTGGTTCAACCGTTTATCAAGTACTTCATTAACCTCCTCTGTTTCTCTATATCCTGTTATGTGGAGAGGAAAAAAAAAAAGAAAGCAGTAGTTCCCATTTATATTCAGCCGTCCATACCTGTTGAGAAAATTAATGTTCAAAAGATTTGCTGCTGTCCATTAAGACACGACACACCAAGCACAAGTTTGGTTTTCAAGTAAAGAGGGGCCTGTGGAGGCCCCATTAACCGCACCATAAAATCGAGAAGGACTATGCAGCCAGGCGGAACGCCGTAGAACAGGTACATGGCGATTGTTACGGTGAGTTGACGTTTAAATGCAGAGACGAACTGATTCCACCCACAAAAAAAACCGATACTTTAAATGAAAAGAAAAAAAAACGTGGGTTATTTTGTCACAGAATTCTTCAATATTCCATGAACCTTGTCTGCGTATGTAGGACACGTGCGTTCTCTAGTCTGTTAATGCTGTTCGCGGCAGCGACATCTCTAGCATACCGCAAGGTCATTGAGTTAATTGTGACAAAAGGAAAAAAAAGATAACGCAAAGTTGACCACCGGCTACATACAAAGCACTACAAACGTCGCATCATTTAAAGATTTGGCTGACCCTGGGCTGCATTATCGGAAAGGGTATCAGATGAAGCCGGTATCTCTTTTGAAGTTTGCAGTAATCGTTTTCATCATGAACACTGATGAAGTATTTCCAAAGTGTTGAGTTACTTAATGGTTTGTACATACTTCCCCCCTCCGAGTTATTTTTGCTCACCTGTAGTGTTCACAGATGTGATATCTGTACATAAGCATGTACTGTATATACAATTATGCATAGCGCCTAATAATTTTTAGACAAGTTACGCGTGTTAAATTATATTTATTGTCATCAAAACGAGACTAAATGGCCCTTGCCGACGCCTCTGACTGCACAGTTAATAGTGTAAAAATGCATTATTGGCATACAGTAATTTATTGTATATAAAATTATTTTTATATGTTGATTTTTGTGATTATGTACATAATCAAAATGGAAAACATTTAGTAGTTGCATATGCATACGCAGTGCATCGGTTGCTTGCATATGTATATAACAGCACAGTGAAGGATGGCGTACTGTGAAATGTTTTGGGGTCGAGTACTAGCCGGGTGCGCGTGCAATTAATAAGCGCATCTTCTTTACACCAGACCTTAGGTATTACATTTCGGGTTAATCGGAACATTTATCTTCACCAGAAGTCAATTCATGTATTTTCTTCCAAGTGCTTATTTTCAAGATATGTACATATACCGAAGCCCATGTTATTACATGTATCATCGGTAAGCTTATCACAATGACTAAATTTCAGCTGGTTGTGTCTGGGTTGTGATGAGGGGTACCAAAAACTGATGTTTTGATGTATTGATATTTTTTTTTGCATTATTATCTTTTTGTAATTATGGACAGAGTTGTAGCAATGTGAAGGCAAGGCTACTTGGGGGGGGGGGGGGGGGGGGGGAAAGGAGGGGGGTAGGGGGGTTAAAGGATAGGGTGTAGGGGGAAGAGGTGGGAGTAATGCATGTTTTGGTTTTTGGAAAAGGCGAGTCCATTAAAAATAATCTCCTCCTATACCATTAAGCTATTCTTGTTTTAAAAGTAAGCTTAGATGAGTTGAACGCATGATAGTTTTGCCAAGAATGTACAGTTATATAAAGATATCTGGGAATCCTATAGTTGTATTAATATTGGAATTCTCATTTGTAGCCAATGCAGTGCTGATGTGCAGTGATCTTGTCAATTTTAACTTAAATATTATTTTAATTTTTGTTCACTATCAATATCAATTTACAAATCGACCAATAGTATAATTTATTTATTACTAGATTTTTTTCATGGAAGTTTCGGACTAGCTGTGCATGACCAGTCTTTTACCTTCGATCTATTAGCCTATGAATAACTTAAAGAGTGTGTGACTTTGTTGGTTAAACCGATAGGAGCTGTACAGGATCTAAATTATTTTGTATATTTTTAAAGCTAATCAAACACGACATAGCTCATTTCTTTAAGTGAGGGGCTTCCAAGAGAAATTAAAGTAGACGTACATGTAAGTGCACTTCATGATTTTCCCTTTGCTAGTATAAGCAACCAATATTGTCTTGTCTCTGTTATGTCAATTCAAAGTTTATTATTTATTCCTTAGAAAATACTCTTTAGAGAGATGCATAGCTTAATTTAAATCCTGTGTTAGATTTCAAAATTGTTGGTTACGTTAATGTGACGCAATTATTATATCGTAGAGAGTGTTCAAAACGCTTACAGCCGTCTGTGTAGTGTAAGTCTTTTCCTTTTTAGACCTTTTAGACATGAAATAATATTGTTGAAGCTAATTTAATTCTAACTGCTATATATTTATTGATAAATACATAAATTGTTGAAATAAAGGAAACCCCAATTATGTGATCACTAGTCGTCACGTTTTTTTAATTTATATTTTCAATGAGGTAAACAAAGACACAAATGCGTGTCCATTGNAAAAAAAAAAAATGCGTGTCCATTGTGCTGTAAAATGTAAAAAAAAAAAAAAAAAAAAAAAAAAAAAACAGGAGAATGCACAATAGATAAGAAACATATATTTAATGACATTTTGAAAATTTTCTACATACAATTGCATACTATTGCTAATATGATCTCGAAAGAGCCAGCCAGATAAGTTTCTCCGAAGCTAAAGGATTTCAAGATCCAGTGACTGGTAATGGTAAGCTTGAGCTTCTCTACCGCACTTGTCGGCTGTGCTGCTTTGGCGAACATGCCGCTATTTCGATATTGTTTTACGACTGATGCAGCCTCGGTTCATTATTGCACTTACAAAATTACTGGCCCTTAACTAATACAAGGTAGTAGACGCGGTAAAGATCAGGTGATGCAGATTCTTTAACCTTACTTAAACGTTAACAGTTCTACTAGACCGAATTCGTAGTTGTGCCCATTAAAAATCAGTTTATACAATACAGGGCGTTGTGTCCTGGGTACAAAGGTAAATTTTGGACAGACAATTGCAAGATGAGGACAGAACTGATTTGAAAAAAAGAGAGAAAAGGTTATTGTATCTTATACCTAAACTGTTCTTTCTACCGCACATGGCGTTACTTAGCCCCAGGAACCGTTCGTTTACCTTGAACCAACGCCAAAGGTAACAGATCTGAATGCCAGGTTTTCCACCTGTACATTTTTAAAACACAGAGGAGAATAACGGCTGGCTAACTCATAACAATAAATTCATAAATGTCTTTGCTCTTTTACATACATGATAACTGATAGTATTAGTCCTTTCTTTCCTTCTGCTAGAGTATTTTAGGCATTAATATGGAAGCTACGTTTAACCTACTTAATGATAATGAAAGGACGTATCTCAACATTTTAAACTCCATTTTCTGTTACTCAGTTGTCTGATTTTACTTATTAAAATATATCGTAAGGATATTGGCATTGGCATTTGATGTAAGAGTAAGCACTTTACAGGCACACGGTATAAGCAAGCGAAACTAACTCGAGTCCCCTGAAAAAAAAAAGAACACACAGCAATGTACAGGTTAGATTATCACGATCAATATAAATTTGATTTTTGACACAGATGCGACTTGGATGACAAGTAATGGATATTACATGGAATAGTGGAACTAGAGTACTCTTGCCCCACTATACGTATACCATGTGCTGGGTAAAAGGCATAACTAAAAGCTTTGAGATGGTTCTGTCGTCAAATTAAATAATTGATGCACAAATCCTGGTTTATATCAAGGGACCCCAGTCTACGAGGTCTCATGTACCGTAGACGTAGAGCTTATAAACAATCATGGTTAGAACGAATTTTCGAAGGTCAGAGATTACACGTGAAGGAAATTAGCTAATATGAAAAGGCTTGCCCACAGCTATGGTAATTTCTGAGGCTAAACTTTCGAATAAAAGTGAAAACAACTTTTGATCATGTCATTTATAATTGCATTAAATAAAATCAAGGGCGGACCAAGGGTCTCAGAAAACAAGAAAGGGCGCACAAATTGATTGTATGCTAAACGATTCCAACCGAAGGTTGAAAGATCTTGGGGGCTCTTTACAAGTTTTAAAAATACAATTACGGTATTGTGCAACCTGTGTTACCAAATCATCGTGTAATACAACGTGGACCAATCTGCAAATATACATGTAAATAACGATAAAGGTACAACAAAGGCAAATCAATTCGACCAAAGAAGACTGCCTTTGTTTTCAATTAAGACAGATGTTTGCAGATATTATCTTAAATGAGGCACGTTAATTTGCGTTTGAAAATCCTCTGCTATTTTTTTTTTTTTGTAATATATACCAACGGAATTGATTCATTGGCGACAGAAGGAATATGTATTACGCTTATAGTGCACTCACAGTTAACAATCTAAACTTACATTTATACATATGTACAGTCAATAAATATGTGTCTACGATCTCTAAATACATGTATATCAATATTCATGTTGTGTAGACAGTCACGCGAAGTAATTACATTGATTTTCAGCACAAGATAGAAACAACTGCGACAGTTAACAAGATCGTGTCGTTGTTTGTCTCCAAAACAGATGGAAGCGACGATTTCTGTCAAGTTCCATTTAGAAAAGTCATGTGCAAATTTCCCATGAATAATGACGTTCAAAGAAACCACTGGCACTGTTTCTCAAAGGTTTTTTGCCGCTGTTTTTCACAGTCTTGGCCTTAAAAGAAGGACACCACAGAAAAGAGTGTCCAGACGTCAACATGTATTTTACCTTCTAACTAACCAACGTATTGGCCATGAATTAGTCATGAACTAAACACCAGTCCTTACTGAAAGTGGCAATTCAAATATCAAGTAGGCCGTTGGCATGAATTACCAAGCTCGTCGTTAGCACAGAAACATAATTAGGTCCTTGACACCCAATGAAGGCCACAAAAACCTTCCATAAGGTCACTGTGTGAACGTAGGTCACAAATAGCTGGAAGCAGGTCACAGTTACCTGTGATAGTGTGTCAATGGCGCATCTTTTAATAGGTCATAAACACCTGTATATTGTTTTCACCGTGACACACGTTTTACAATTCACTTCACAGCACCATTTGAAAACGCATCTGCAATTTTCTCTGACTGTCATTTGGAATTTCTTGAAGCCTCTTCCGCAGCACAGAATATCACAACCGCCCACTCCTTTTGACAGTGGGTCACAGTCTCTGTCGCGCGTCCCCAGGGACCCCACTCTCCTGTTGGGTTTGCAAAAATCAGGAGAGTTCTCAGAGTATATTAAATCTTCCGACGCTGGATGCTTCACTGTTATGTCCTCCGGCATTAAGCTTTTGCCATCATTCGAGCCAATCATTTTCGTAGCACCATCAAATTTTTCTTTTAATATATTCCCTACATCGTTAAAGATGGGCATTTTCCTCCAGCATGTCTTTAATGCACAAGATCCAGAGAGACCATGGCATTTACATTCTTTTCTCATGTGGTTTTGAACGGCCTGGAACAAATACAAATATAGTTTGTAACATCTCAAATGGATATTAGATTTATGCTTCAAAACTGTAATTCAAAGTGTTGACGTGGAATACTGAATTTTAAAATAGCGTAAAAAATCATAATACATTGAAAAACTGAATAAAGTCAATAAACGTGAAAAAGATAAGATAAACTAAGATAGAATAAAACGATTTAAGTATATTTGATAATCTATGTAAACACATAAAAATGCATTCCTAAAACATTTTATCTTTAAGAAATTAATTAAAAGCATGACTTATTGGTCAGTAAAATTAACACCGTTGGGTATATCCTGTAATTTGTTTTTCGAAGGGGAACCTGGAAATTTGAATAACATGCTCCTTACAGACAACATGTGAAGGTAACTATCAGCAAAATCAGTATAACTTTTGAAGTTAGGTTATTGTTGACCTGTTTTAGCATCAAAGGCAAATGCGTCAGAGAGGGAATTATACAGAAGGCTTGTATTTGAAGTTTCGCTGGGACAAAAAACGTAAATGTCATGCATAGTTTTTACAAATCATTTCAAGAATATGCGATTTTTTTTCGATTAACGTGCAGGCCAAGTTGGAGATATTTTGCGGTCAAATATTATCGCTTTTTATAATAAGCCATTTTTTTGCTGCATTAACTGACTTAGGCAAACATATTCCCCAGAATATTAGCGTTATAAAAGGAAATTGATACCAAAGTTAGTTGTAATCGGATGAATTGGCAACTCCGCGAATTCACAAGCTTCTCGTTGTTGTTCTATACGGGATTGGGGGCGCAAAACGCTGGTGTTTATCCAGATAAATGAGATACAGAAGTGCAGGCCACAAAACCTACTGAGCGCGGGAACAATGATAGATAGGACTCGTCTGCTTGCAAACGATTGTCCGCCAGCTCACAAATGATTGGCGGATTGTCGAGACTGACGGCAGGAATCTATTGACGTGGGACCAACTCTTTTCAATCGCAAAGGTGATAAATAGATATAGATTTTCAATTAAAATACTTTGGTTTGGGATTCAGAAGAAAGAAATGAAGGGTCTCTTTTGTACTGCGTTTCTGATCGTTCTCTGGAACCAGGGTTTGGCCATCCGACCCCGTGTGAATGTTCCTTTTTTTGATGTTTATCGCCAACCCAAGGGTCACGTCGAGCAGGGAAACGGCGTAGGGGAGCCAACCGCAACGCCAACGACTCTCAGCAAAATTACACTGTGCACTAACTGGTAAGTCTTTATTTTATTTCTCTATTTCAGTTTAAGATAATAAATTCTTGCACGGCGTTAGATTCAAGTACGCAAAACGTCAATGGCCGCGTTTTTGCGTTTAGCTACGTTTTCTCACGGGCAGACAATCGGCTTCATGGTAAACTGTTGCACAAACCTAATAAACAATCATGGGGATCTGTCCAAAATGACAAGATAAAGGTTTTTCGAAACAGATGTTTAACTATCACAGGAGTCAAAGTAGTGATCGTGCTCGGAACACATCATGCAGAATGCGACTCAACAACATTTATAGTTTCCGTGGGAGTTGGCACAGTTTGGATGCCAGACAAATTGGTTCTGTTCGAAAGCCATCTGCAAACAATACTAGTTGCATATACGCCAACTGTGGCAGTAAAGGGAAACAGACACAGCCGCAGGTGATATAACTGTGTAAAAGTTCCTGCTTGCGTGTGGGTAGAAGGCTGGGAAGCAGGGATACGCATGCTTTGGTTAGTCGATCAATTTACTTCCTGGAAAACGGAGTCTGGGAAAATTTCGTACGTAATTAAACTACACCTTGTATATGTACTAATGACAGTGAATGATCAGCTATAGCTGTAGCAGACGCACCATAGCCTTTTTCAAAATGATCCTCTGTGTACGAAGGTGTGGTTATATCCAAGTCCCATATTGCCCAACACATGCTCTTGATTTAGGGAGCGGGGACGTCGTTGGCGGGCTACCTTAAACCGTGACTGCCCTCTCTAGGAATCCACGACTGTGTAAACCGGTTTGTTTTGTTTGGGGTGTAGAAGCAGAATGTGAATACAAGTGCGATCAATACTCGATTTGTTAGTACTTTAAATGCACTATGTATGTTCTTACGCTCCCTCCTCTTATCATTTAGAGTATTTTCCTTTTCGGTGGTATATTAAAACGATCGTACTCAAACTTATATTTGTTTTCTGTAGAGTGTCCGCAGAATTATAACCCAACATTAGAACATTAAAGAGTTTTGCCACTTTGGTGTTATTTCATCTTTTTTGGCACATTTATGAATAACAATTTAAAAGTTTGTATAAAGTCTGGTTAAAACTTGCAAAAGTATTGCATGATTACCTCTACTGTAATCCAAGTTTTGTTCGCACTGCCATCTACGTGGCGAGGTGTTATGTCACTTAATTAAGGGACGTTATAATGAGGCTTTCTAAAGTGATATTTCTTAGATATTAATATGACACCAACCCATAGCAAAACGAAAAGTTTGCAGCAATATTCCAGCAACGAGTTTGCAAGAATTCTATTGCCGCTTATTTGCAGTCATATTGCAGCAAATTTGCTGGGAATTTGCAAGAAAAAATTGCAGTTTGAAGCAATATTGTAGTACATTTGCTGCAAAATCGCTACGAATTTGCAGCAGGTCTGATATTTTGCTAAGGGAATTTCTTATTGTGAACAACATCGCAGTTACAGTACTTGCAACGCTTCTATAACCTCTATTCAGAATCCTTTAATCATGGGGAATTGTAACAGATATATGCAAATTGAAACAAATATTAGTTTGATTTAATGAAGCGATTAACTCAAGTCTGGTTCATTGTGGCAAGACTCGTTAACAGATCGATTTTCTATTCATAAAATGACCATTTGCCTCAGTGTGATTTTATTGACATTACAATAAAAATCTATTAACCGAACTAAATAAGCAATGAGAAAACTCATAATTTTTTAACGTTACTTAAAAATAACTGCTGACAAAAAAAAATCTAGTAAAATAATTATTTTAACTGTTCAGTGTTTTGGACAAAATGCTGGTTAAATTTAATCTTTCGAAAACTTTTATAACAAAGCGGCATCTAAACTGTCATGTGATTTACAATTGAGACGAACAAAAGATAATTCAGATTTTAAACGGATAAATAGCATTGCTGAATTTCTTTTGAGATTAAACTTCATTGCAGTGGTGAGGTATATTTATCAAATTGATATATGAATGAAGGCTCCCTGGTGTCCAAACAAATATAATTTGGAAGGATTTCTTTTAAAATTTAGGCCATTAGGACCATTTCAATGAACTTAATTTGTTACAAACGTCACGGGATTCCAATTCTATCCCTACCCATATTACACTTGATGAAATGTTAGAAATAAACCCGAGTCATCAATGTCTTTATACCTCTTCAAGCGGAGAAAAGGCAATATTGAAGTCAGTGGGTAAAACATTTTGGCATTGTTCAAATTGAAAGAATCTTTCTCTCGATCCCTATTAAAACTATTACAATAACCCCTCGGTTGTAAATACCTTCTCTGAAGCGAATGAATTGTCGTGGTTTCAAATTTGAACCCATGGGAAGCAAGCATCTTCAGCTGGGACTATTTCTTATATACTTATTATCCTCATTTTTATTTTTCCACATATGATTGTACTTAGTTCACGAATTTTCGTTTTTTTTTTTATCTGTTCAAACATGTAAAAAAAAAAAAAACGGGATCAACAGAAATACCACCCATATGTCACCGGACTATTACTCACTAAAAATTCCTGATGTTTGACAGAGTGATGTCAGAAATTGATAGCTTCAAAGAGGGTCTTGGTGCACAAGAAAGTGTCAGTTCACGTCAGTGCGCCTCCGAAATCCGCATTACAACGTTTTGGTTGTTCGCCCAAAGTGGTAACTCATCCCTTCGTGACGCACCGTGCTCCTCACCCACGCACCCCAACTTTGCAAACCACAACACAAAATTATAATCTAAAACCCCAGTTTAAATTTCATTCACCACTGCGTTGCTAAATATAAATTCCTGGGAATATAAATAGGCTTGCTTTATCTGAGGCGCATCCTGTGAGTAAATATTGTGTTTGAAGGGGGATGTGATAAGGCTGTTGCATCAGGTTCATTGTTACATGCGTTTTGACGTATATGGCCGTGTCGGACACTGTTTGACTATTTCGCTTTGTAAAAAGCTCTTGCACTGAGGTTATGCATTACAGGGTGTAACGAATAAGCGACTTGGGCGATCTCTTCAACTTTTTTAAAAGTCAGATCATGTTTTGACACGAGAAACAGGAGTTTCCTTCCATGGTGAAATTTATCAATCTTGTTCCTAGGTCTCTGTTTATAGTGTTAGCAGACATTATCAATTAGTGCTGTCCGCGTCGAGCACCCCGCTGTCTAGTCCGTACAAGAAATTAGCTATATTCAGGAAAGTCTTTTTTTTTTACGAAATAATTTGTGTTCAGCCTCCCCCTACCCGCCTCCTGATTGGCACTGCTCCATGGTCTAGCCATACATCAAATACGCAAATCGTCTGCCTGTATAATTCTGTCAACACGAAGGCGTAACCAAGCACAGGCAGCACACTGCTAACATGAGAAAGGAAATTTTGGGAGAACAGGGCAATATAAATCAGACGCTTGATGCTTGCTTCTTTTACCCTTGTCCAAAATTATATGTGCGCTACGTTTTAATGAGATGCTGTCAAAGTTGGAATTAAATTAACACAAAGCGCACATGAATTGCGCGTTTTTAACGAATATCCATTTTACGCGTTCCGTTTATCGGTTTCAAAGATTTTGATAACCTGAATTTTGAAATCGCCTCAGCATTTTTTCAATTCTAAAATACGAAGCGCTTAGTCACAGTAACTTAATTCTTCTGTCCCTGACTAATATCATCATGACTAGTTTTAATTCATTATTGGGTTCGGAAGGGTGTGGGCGCTCAAAAGTTTATCACTCTTTGGGGTAATTTTCACTTTATCAACATCATTCTTAATTAATGATGGGATGAAAAGCAAGTCAACATGTTTTTGTGTGCAATACATTTGAATCAAACATCAGCTCATGGGTAATGAGTTTAAATGTTTGAGTGTTATTATTCTATATGAGATAATCCATATCAAGACTTATGCCAGGCTCCACAATATTGTCATAATAATGCAAAACTGCATTGACATTGTAAAAGTGAGAAATAAATAAGAAATGGTAAAAGAAATGAATAAGAAATAAGAAAAGTAAGGCGGATTTAAAGTGGCTTTTTCAAAGGACTCGCATGTTGCAGCAAGGTGAAAGACGATCCGAAACAAACAGGCCTAGCCTAAATATCATAACTGAACGCTGACAGCTACAGCAATAAGGACCTGTTGATGGATAAATTCGCAGGGTTGCCAATACTTAAACGAAATGTCAAGATTTTTGGCAGTAAAAAATAATAAAATACTCGGGCACTTAGAAAGAATCGAACGGCAGCATATTAGAGCAGATTGGGCAGCTTGCCATTTTATTTTTTTTTACTTACATGTAGAAGGGTTGGTAGGGCATTTTGGATTAAAGAAAAAGCCTATAGAATTTATAATGAACTATAGCTAGGGGGAAAGGTAACTGAAAAAGGGACGTTTAGCAAAATCCCATGTCTCATCTCACTCACCAATCGACCTGCTTCGTTGTTATGTAACTGTATTAATGTCCTCATGTCGTTTTGTCTCTTTTTCCGCCGGGCATCCATGAATGCTTTTGATTTTAAATATCCGAATTCCACATTGTCTCCGCATCCTCCCCACTCCCATTCTCCATCTGTCTTAAAATCGCGTATTTTGACGTCAGCGCACGTGCACTGAAGTAGCAAACCCATGCTGCACGCCTGTGTCACTGAATACACCACGCCTGCCGCCGTTACTGCAAACACAAATGCAGTCTCTCTAGTATCTGAAAAAAATATTTGAATATTTCATTATGATGATACAAATCAAACCCTCTCTCTCTCTCTCTCTCTTTCTCTCTCTCTCTCTCTCATTCTCTCTCTCTCTCTGTGTGTGTGTGTGTGTGTGTGTGTGTGTGTGCACGCACGCGCGCGAGCTTATGTGTGTGGGTTTGCGAATGAGGAGAGATGAAGTGAAGGTCTTATGCGTCGCACCTACCGCATTTGTAAACTAAAAGCAAACTCTTTAGGTTATACTGTATGTGGTGCATTTCCAGTGTCTTCAAGGTGAAGTATAAGAAAATGAAATTTAACAAAATTACTTTTCAAATGTAGACACTCGTCCAACTAAAGAGATAACATAAAGGTATTAAGGAATCGTCATAAAACCAGCTGGGGACAACTGGAAATTAGCTACATAAAAGTTGAACATTTATGTATGAAAATGCAAGAGAAAAATCTAGTAAACAAAAACACCTTTTTATCGGGATATAGTTATCATAGTGAAAGTCAACAGAATCATTTTAGACGTTTACAATGATAAATATATCGTGGTTTGTGCTGAGCGATGCCACTTTTCCAATCATATCTTTTCCTTCGAACTTCTGACTGTTAAAAAATAGAACAGATGAAAAAATGAAGCACTTCATCCTGCAACTTGTTTTACACGTTTTCTAAACTATTTCGTTGCCCTTTCCATAGCACCATGTGTACATTGACTTGAGAGTATGAGGGTATGTGTCCCACATATGCATTCTTTCAAAGCTTCTGGCCAATGTGAGAGCAAAAATCCCTTGTATGTCACACGTGGAATGAAAACCTTTTCTACAATATTCACCGTAAAACGTTAGACAAACTATTCGGCAGGCTTGAAGAAAATCAATAACTGAATTTTAAAATCTCCATGAAGAATGTATAACTTAAATAAACAAACAAACAATTCCTGGAATAAGGATTGTTAAACTTTTCAAATATACCCTCAGTCCTGGTATCAGAAAAATGCTCATAACAGAAATTTTACTCGTATGCTGATAAAATTAATAATAAATCACCAAAACGAACGTTTTCTATTTTATATGAAACTTCCAATAGGCCAAACAGAATAAATGTGCACATATCCAACCAAGATCAAGTAGGAAAATATTTGTTATTCAGTTACTGAATAAAATAACATTTTACCGTATTGTTAAAATGGATGAATAACGAAGCAAACCAATATTTCAGCCCAATACGACTGCCCATACTTCTTGAAAGGAAACATAAATTAATTTAAATTAATTAGTCGGATTCCGGGACGCCTCTCGGTTTTACATCCGGAAGACCCGCAAATTAACATATTTGATTTATCTTCTCTGCTTTTAAAGTTTATCATTAATAGCTTGTTTATTTATGCCCAACTCTTCGCCCTACGATGTAATTGATTGGGATCATGCTCATAATTGAATTCCGTGGTTGCACTCGGATACAGAGTACAACATTCGGAGCACCCACAGGCGTCTATTAGAACTTTATGGAAAAAGTGTGTATGGGTTGCTCGTTAAAAATAACTCCGAGAAGAAAACATCCTTTGCCTTCTAGCAGAAACGAGCCTCTCCCAAACGACTAGGTTATGATTTTGCAGCTTGGCGTTGCGCATTTGTCTATATGACTTTTTTTAATTACCGTTTTCTAGTTTTCCTGGCTGTTTTACTACATGTACAATTTCTCCTGTTTTTAAAATCATGATGTCTTTTTTTAAGTGCATTTTTATCATGTTTGGCAAAAATGAGGCGTTCTATTTTGAAACGTATATTTCCCAATATCTCAAGTTTCAATTCAGAATTTGTGCATGCTTAACTAGTTTTAGTTATATTGGTTGAATTTTATGAAATAAGCAAAGGGCGGACTTCATATCAAAATATCAATCTTGAATTTTATTTCACAAATATTTATCTAGAATTAAATTCCTAAAATTCCCCGTTTCATTAAGAATTTTCTTCAACATCAAACCAATAGAAGTCAAGGTGCGCTCTATATTTGCAGATCCCTAATTAAGTTAATAGAAACGAGCAACAAGTGAGCCGACCATATTGCACGGCCGACTGCAGAGTGCGCTACAATCAGATCAATTTAATTTAAAAAACATGTGAGGGAGTTTTCAACCTGGCGTGAATCTTGACTTGCAGCGTGTATAGAGAAACAAAGCGTGTTGCTTGTCTAGGGCGACCTGCGGGCAACAACAGACCATGTTTTGAGACAGTGAGGAATGCGGCTTCTCGCTGCGAAAAGGCAGTGTTTTATTATTTTATTTTCTTTCATGTTAACTTATCGAATCAACCCTAGATAAATAGTTGCGTGCCCGCGCTGGTGCAACCAAATGTTTATCTTCAGATCGAGAAGATATCTTGTATCCCCAATTGTTGCGTTAAGTTTTTCTACACCAAATGTATCAAAGAATGAATAGATTTTTGTAAGTGGATTCAATGACGGATAAGATTGCAAATAGGCGAATGGATATGAGAACAAATAAGCCCTAGTAAAAGTTTTCTTTTAAGAAAAAAAGTCTCGCAAAACAAATATCGATTTAAATTTGACAATGCTGCAATATTATATCGGGACCAGCTGAGTAAAACAAAACAAATAAACAAATACCATTCACCAAATATTTGTTTCAGGTCAATATTTCAAAATTAAAAATACCCCATTCGAGTACGCTAACAACTGCCCTGTATATATCACGCTTACATATTTTAATACGTCTCCTCAAATGAAAACCAGATCAAGTGCATACGTTTTTTTTTTCTACTGCAGAATTGTCCCGCGGGGAAAGAGTCGGCAGTGTGCTTGTACAACACGCTTTGTACACAGCTTCTCTCTGACCACGAGTAACCTCAAAGCATATGAAAAAATCAGCAAATTTGATACAGCGTAAACTGAAAGCAGAAAGAGTAGGGAGAGCCCGGTGGTAACGCTTCTTGTCCTACTTCTGCCCTGAAGTTTTACGTCCCGAAAGATTCGTGAAGTTTACGTCATATTTTCATTAAAAAGAAAGCTGCTAAAGCAAGTGTGTTTTCCACCACATGGTTGAGTTTAAGGGAATCCAACTCTCCAGAGAGGCATACCGTTAAGCACTTAATTTCATGCAAGCTTAATATTAATCACTTGTTGCATCGATAGTTGCGTCATAGTAAATACACATATTTTTACAATTAATTGGGAGAGAGAGAGAGAGAGAGGGAGAGAGAGAGAGAGAGAGAGGGGAACGGGGGAGGGGCAGAAAGATAACGTGGCTTGACTTTTTACATTTGAATATTTCACATTTGCATTAGGTTGATAAATTTCGTTAACACTCTCATGATAAATGGCCAAAAATGAACATTAGAAATATTTTTATCACAACAATCGAGCGCTCCTAATTAGACGTCAGTTGTAACTTCACAGAAAGCATAAATCACCCATCTGATTGTTCTTAATAAGAGTAGGATATTAATTGCTTCCAATTAATTAGGTTTCCATGCCTTGTTCTGGCGACTGGTAAGAAATAATTTGTATTTTAGATGCGTGCAGACATATTCATTACATTCAACTGCCCTTCCATTTACTTGTGATGTAACAGGTAATGTAATACAGTATTCCCCAGATATTTGATTTCCATTTTGATAGGGAGGGATGAAGCCAAAAAGACGAATGATTATGAGTTGGGACCAGTTCTCATTCCTCTTCAAACTAATTTTTCAAAATGTTTGCTTTCGTTTGATGTAATCGGGCCCATTTCTTTAACTAAAGACACAGAAATAAATGCCAAGGGAAATAACAAAATTTAGCTACGTATCATTAAATTATCTTATTTCTAAATATCCAGATATGATATTAAAATGTCCACCACGATTTTCAGGTCCTAGTTTATATTGACAGGCACTCATTAAAAGAGTCAGGCTTCGTATATAGCTTTATTCACACACTTGAAACTAAGCAGATCTCACCGAAGTTAACAAGGCGAAGGGATTGTTGGCGGAGATTTGACAGCCCCGTGTCAACACTAGACAGTAGCTATGTGTGGCCCGGCCATAGAAACTTTCAATTTAGAGCAATTAACAAATCCACACGAGACCCTAGGGCAGAATTGTGTGTACATTTTTCAGCTGATGTTTCAAGTATGATACACATCTAATGGACAATAGCAAACTATCGGAATTAGACAAAATGTAAACTTTGGTAAGTGCGTAGATACACAAGCACTACGACTGTGGCGTATGGGAGGTTCCAAAGTCGGACCTTTGTATTATGGAATGAAGTTTCTTATTAACTTTTTGAAAAAAAACATTGAAAAAAAACTCGTTTGAGATTTCATCAGAAATTACAATACTGCGCAATAATTCGACAGGGGGCAACTGAGATGATGTGGCAGAAACGCGTGCGGCCGGGATTGCTATAATGGGTGGTCGGGCCTTTTTCTCCAATTTTCTGAAATTGCAGTGAGACTGTATCTGAAACTTACCGAAGTAAGTTCACAACGCCTACGGCACCGTTACCATCTAACCCACCACCATATGTCGTTGTCAATAATATCTGTTGTGAGCTTTGGGTAATTCACCTGACTAAGGAAGTCGAAACAGACGTTTCTGTCTTGTAATAAACCCCAGAAATGAAAGGGAAAAAAAGCCGAAGGATCCCAAATTCCAGACCCATTGCATGGGTCTACGGTGTACGCACTCAAAAAATATTGGAGCATTCTGTGTCACGAAGGACACGGCTAAGAAGTTAGTTTTAATACTGAGTGACAGCAGCAAACTGAGCGCATTTGAATCGAAATCCAAAGAATGCATCTAGGATTGGTTATGAAGAACGATACTATAACTCTTCAGTTACAAAAACGACAAAAAACTTTTTAACATAGAACCTTCAGTCAATTCTACTTGGCTTGTGGCTTGACTTTCTGACTTGCCTCTTTGTTCTTCTATTTTTATTTCATATATTTTTTCATGGATGATTAATATATCAATATATCATTTTGCAATATATTGTTCGGATATGATTATAGCATTATCACATTAAATCTAATTTCATTCTTTATTTACTAAAGACAGCTGCATTGTTGAAAGCAATGGGTCTTTTTTAATACAAACGATTCGACAAAGATATAGAAGGGTGTCTTTCGGTCTCCTTGGAACATTGTCGAACGAATTTACTTTTTATCTCTTATGAAAGTAGTGTACGAAAAACTGTTCACTTTTAAGAGTACCTTCTTTCGCTTGGCCAAAATATTTGATCATAATTTTTGGGGAGCGGTAACAGTTCTCTAAAACAAATAGATTTTCAAAACGAACCACCAACTTCTTATTTTCACATGTAATTTAGGTACCTTAGGTTTGTAATAGAATTCATTCGTTCCTATATCTCACCAAATAAAATGCAGTGACTGCAGTTGGAAGGCATAAGGAAAGGATGTGAGGAACTATCAAAATATAACCTAGGCCATAATAGAGCCTAATTAGCTTTACAGCTCAATCACTAAGTACGAGAGAGAGAGAGAGAGAGAGAGAGAGAGAGAGAGAGAGAGAGAAAGGTGACAATTTCTTAAAGACGGTTTTAATAACAATATATATATATATATATGCTAAAAAACCTGACTTTACCTAAATTGAGTATGCGCCCAAATGACTTGTGCTGCGTAGAGCAGTTCCACTTCCTGTGGCGAAACTGAAATTGGCACTGAGCAAGGGCGAGTTGGGCCCCCTTGGCCACCTGCGAAACCACTTCGGGTTCTTTCTGGCAAATTTCTTGCTGCTTGCCGACCAGTCTTCGGGTCTTCCGACAAATACTGTTGGGGTCCATAACCAGTGGGCTTCCCACCGCCCTGGAATGTATAAAAGACCTAGTAAAATAAAATTAAGTCTTATTTTATCATAATTACGCTCTCCCCCACTTCTCTCTCTCTTTTAATTGAAAACAGTCCCAAAATCTCTCTTTTAATTGAGAACAACCCCCAAATCTCTCCCGCTTTCTTATCAAACAATCATTCTTATCATTACCTAAATATTAAAAACAAATTATTCAGAATGCAGTCATTGTACATGTTATTTGTCTGTGTGTGTGATTCTTATTTAACAAAATACAAGAAACCGCGTGATTAATTTTGATTGTTTTTCTGTCTGGTATGCACGAAATAAGGCGGCCCTTTTCAAGTGACAACTATGAAATATATTAAGTATATCGCTTCACACCTTCTTAACCCGAGATATAAAACTACTTCATAAATATTCTTCACTACTTCATAAAGTGCTTTGATAGTCTGTTTTACCGCTAAAGGACTGTTATAGTACCCTTCCCTTGGTTAAGTGGTGGTTAAGGAAAAGATGCAAAGATGAATATTTTATTGCCATTTCCCAAACCATTAATCAAACCAATGTTAGGTAAGTTGGCTTTGTGAAAGTTCTATTTCGTCAACGCGTACCCGGGACTTTTTGATAGATTTTATATCTGTCGTTCCCATTCAAACGTAATTGTATAAGTATTCCATCGCAACTCATTACAGAAAAGTCTGTTGGGAAAGCTTGTCTGTGTTTGATGTCCTCACCCTGCTAGTCTTGTAAATACCACAGAAAATCATCAAGCACAACTTAACTAAGTCTTTATCTGATTTTACAAATTACAAAATCAATTCATTTCTAGTGAAAAGAAAATACAAGGAAGTATATTATTTTAGTATCGTTTCTAAGGTGTGTATATATACGTATGTATGTAAAAATATGTGCTAAAATGTTTATTAGCCTTCCTGCTATTGAAAGCTACAAGGTAGAGTGTAATCTAAGTTTCCCTGGTTTAAAAGAAGCTACAGTGTGATATTTCATAATATTTAGGTCTCAAGACTCCATTCTATATATACATGACGTAACTCTTTCTTTAAGGGGAGTCGTTTACAATACGTAATCCGCCATATTGAAAGTCTTATACATGTAGATGTAAGTCAATGGTAGCCTATCAAGCATAGTCATAGGAATCATACATTTAAGGGACTGAAATATAATTGTCGACACATATTTATGGTTGAAAGTCTTCCACGAGTCCATAAATGTTTAAATGTTTTTGTCAGAAATGAGTACAGATGAGAGGCGGTTTTGATATGAAGGGTTGTAAACATATAATTGGATTTGACGAGAAACCGTGCAGTTCGTGGGCCCATGTTGCCATCGCTTCAACATTATTTGGTTGTTACTCTGGCATACCATGCGATTGTGTAGTCTATACTGTTGTTGCATACATTTCGGCTTTACCATCAGCCCCCACATTTCCCTCTGGGGAAGTTCTCTGATTTGGGGCTAATTTAATACTTCTGTCCAGTAACAGGGCTTAAAATAACAAGCAGTGCTTCCTCGTCGTATGCATCTGTGTCCACTACAGTGCATGCCGACGTCGTATCGCTTTTTTTTTCGGTTACCGCCATCATTTTATGTGTACTCTTAACATTTCCTTCTTTTTTTAACTGTTCTTCCCTTCAAAATCGGCTCGGGAGTAGAACTTTTGACACAAGGTGCTCATAAACAACCAGTTACTTCATACTTTTCATAATTGAATCAAGTTCAGCGAAGTCCCTCGATCGCTACATACATAATATATAGACTGCGAGGATTGCATGATATTGCATCGGTACCAAGTATAAAGAACATTGCCAGGAGAAGAGGTAATCAAATATGGCCAGATACTCAAGGGAGTCTAGGGATTCCAATCTCGTCTCTCAGAGTCTGAGGATTTACGCTCGGGCCCTTGCCTCCGCTTTTAACAGTCTGAGATAACGGGTAATTGGCACAGAATTATCTCAATTTACGACGAAGCGCTCCTTTCCTTTTTGCTGGGAAAGAGATTAAAATCAGCCATCCATTATTAAGGGCACTTTGCTGTACTTGACTATGAATTTAAAAAAAAGTCTACATTAAGGCTACGGGGATCGCGTAAATTTCTAAATTCATCTTTCATAAGATGGTACTCTGCTCGAGAAGAAGCGTCGTTTTTCAGGATCACAATCCGCCCGCCCGCGGCATCAGAGGCAGAAAGTGTATCTCTAAAGCTGCTTCTTTCCAACTTGTTAATTTCAATTTGCATCTACCTGTTACAAAAACGGCGCACAATTAACCAGTACACGAAACGCATGGCAAGACAGTATAGTGATACCCGATGGGAAGATAGGTACATTTAACAAAATACTAGATTAAGGGAGGATATAGACCAAACAAACACTGCTACCTGCTAAAACGAGATTACGGAATCCCGCAGATTTCTCAAGTAGATAGAAAGGTCTACTTACCACCAGACACCTCCTATGTTATCCGGGCACATGAGATAAAAGAATAAGCACACTAAAACTCCCTGAAGATGCATTGTAATCAATCAAGTGCCGTTATTTTTTTCTATCAGAAACCCATAGTCAAAGATAGATCGACCTGAAGACGTAGATCCAGAAGCGCCAGTGCGCCATGAATGTGGTGGCAACAGTAACACATGTAATCATCAGAGCCTGCGGGTCCGCTTTGATGTGTCGAGGAGCCTCTCAGCGAAATCTCTCCAATCTTTCTCCCTGCCTCTTCAACTCCCTCGCCCGCTGTTCTTCGGTTTAGTGCAAATACAAACAAATTATGGTAGATGATTGGCCTAACGGAGTGAGTTTCGTAAATATGCCAATCACGGGAGCACGTCGATGAGCCAAGCGAGGAGACAGTGAATGCTTGATTCAGTTCCGGGAGGTCAAACACTTCGTCAGAGCAGGCTGGAATTCATTCCTGTCAATTTTACTACCCCATATTTTCATCAAAAGCCTTGGAATTACGTAATTGTGCAGCAAACGGTTTTGCCTGAGCAGTGCTGCGTCTTCTCAATGTCAAATACCTAGGGACTTAATGCGCAGCGTCTTAACATTTCTAGGAGGCCGATTTGACCTGAAATTCACGTGGTTCATTATCAAATTAAAATGGCGCGCGGTCCTAATCGAATTCTACTCTTGGAAAGGTTACCCAATGCAATGAACAATGGATAGTGTTTTCTACACAGAAAAAAAAAATTATCGGAGAAAATAGCGGAAAACTAATTCGTATTCGTAGATTCGGTCCCTTTATTAATGTCTTTTGTGTCTGGTTCGTGTCACAGTAACGTCCTTTTCACCTTATTATTCAAACATTCCCGTTTCATGCTTTGCGCTTAAATCATATAAACAGATCTTTTATTACAATTGGTGGTATAAAAGAGTCGTTGTCTATTCAGTGCGAAAGGGCCATTAAACCTAGATATTGTGGTAAATATCTCATGACTTTTTATGTGAACATACCTGACAAAGCAGCAGCATCTAAAGGTGCAGCACCGTTTCAATCGGCCTGTTTGTTTCAAGTTTGGCATATGAATATTCCGTCCTATATTTTAATTGTTTTCAGTTTGTAAACATCAAAATATAAGAAACGAGAAAAAATAATTACAGAATATGAAATGAGAGAAATTAATAGTTCGGGTATTCAGTTGAATTCAAATTAGTGGTTGAGTTGAATTCAAAGTTGAATATTGATCAATCAAAATAAAGAAAGAAAGAAAGAAAGAAAGAAAGAAAAACTAAGAAAAATAGAGAAAAAAGGAAATCCTCTGGAAAATTAAGCAAGTTTATTTGTGAGCGAAATTTGAAAAGGAAGACTTCATCAGGTGAACTGTGCTGTACAACCTGCACTTCGAGAGCAACCAGTACAGGTGAGTTGATGGATTCCGATCATTCTCTGCTAACCACTTGTTGAGCCAGTGATAATTGTATAAAGCAAAATAACACATCGAAAAACTGTAGAAATGAAGACGGCATGCGTTGAACGGACTCAGTTCTGGACCCAAAGTTTGCTTTACCAATCATATTAATCGTGTAACTAAGCAAATCGGTTTGGATGGGCTAATTAGGTAAAAGGGCGAAAAAAGAAAGAAAGAAAGACAGAGAACGAGAGGAGAGAGAGAGAGAGGAGAGAGTTGAATTTCGAAGTATTCCAAAACGTTTCATACAACAATGTATTTTCGTAGTAAATTGCGAAAGGCTATTAAAGCAGAGTTTCCCAGTAGCAAAACACTTAATCACGTGGACTTTGTTTGGTAAAATTAGGTAAAAAGTATATCAGTCCTTTAAACACAATGGCAACTGGAAATCACGCTGGGAACTTACGTTTTATCTTGACACGGCCAATTGAAATAAACATGCCTTATGAACCGTAAATGTCGCGGCCTTATGGTCATTAACCATGTAAGTACTTTAGTGAGGCTTCTCTTTCTTCTTTGGTTATAGATACTTAAACACAAGATGCTCACCCAGGGTTAAAAAGACGAGGACCCCCTGTGTAGTAACATGAAAGAGCACAGCGCACGCGCGCTAGGAGACGCGGCGTGCGAAGATGAAAGGTGCACAGTCGCATGTGCGTACTGAGCGATTGATGCAAATATGAAGACACAAACTATCCATATACTCTTGCGTTGCATTAAAAATAAATATTACCGCCCCAGCCGCTATCATGTGTACACGCACTGGAATACTTTTGGTAGTCCAAAAAAAAAAAAAAAAAAAAAAGACTGAAAGAATGATTTTAGATAATACAAGCAGGGTAATATTCTTTTGAGTTTCCTACCTATATAGAGGATAATGGCTATTATGTCTTTTTTCATATCGATTTCTATATGCAATTGAAAGAAATATACATATTTTACCTATGCATACTAAGCTTAAAGGATTTCATAAAGCACACCTGAATAAAGATAAAGTAATAAAATGTCAGTTTTTCTCCATTATATTTTATAAAACATATTGCTGCGGATATTCAATAAAACACACACAAAAAGTATATAGCAGAATTTTTTTAAAAAGCTGTATTGATTTGGTAAATTGTTTTTAGAATTGATATGCTTATTGTAATTTCGCATTGCTTCATTTCGTATAAAACAGAGCAATGTCTCCTATCAATTTATTGAGCATCAATTAGTTGGTAATGACAGTATGATTTAATAAGGGAGGCACATTGAGTAGTTAGCCTTAAAATGCGTTTCTTATATTTTTATGGTAATAAAGTTTGTGGATCGAATGATACACAACATGTTGGATATAGAACGAGACAATCCATCCCAACGTTCAGATTGATCCTCTAAGCGTTGTGCAATTTCAGGAGAGGGACACACGTACACTAAACCTTGTGACACCGTTCACGGACATTTTTCTTAAATATTATTTCCTTTTACATAACATTGTTTACAAATACGCAGCAAAAACAGAGAGGTAAAAGAAACAAAATGAAGGTTATAACTTGAGTGCTACAAGAAGTCCAAACTGTTTAGTCCTCGTGCTAGAAAAACCTGGTAAAAACTGGATATGTGATGATATAGAGTTGCGTCTATCTTAAACACAGCGGCTCTCAGTGTTAAGAGTTAAGCTTTGCCTAATGTGCGTTCAGTAACATTAACCATACCAGGCCAATAAAGCTATCACTTTGACTGTTGCAAATGAATATATCAGATGGGTAAAATTGATGTAAACCCGGGGTGTGCTGCAAAGCTAAGGTAAATAAAGGTCCTTTACGGCTACCGTATTTACACCATAAATCTAAGACCGACCCTGCTGCGCCGTAGTAAAAAAGAAACGCGGCTGATCTGCTTCGGGGCGATTAGAAATGCACTTATTGACCTTTCAAAAGACTTAAACAATTGGACGAAAACCCTTCTTCATGTTGACAGCGCAGAATCAAAACTGTGCGTCAACAGATATAATAAGATTCAACATATGAAAATTATTTCACAATCGCGTCAAGGAGAAGACCGTGCTGCGCCCTATCGATGAGCGGCGTCACCACAATTGATATTTAATCCCGTTTTAGACATGTAAACAAATGATAGTCATACAGCTTTTAATTTCCCACTAAAGATACTTTAAAGGTGACTGGTATTGAAAGAAGAATGTTTAAATATTGTTCATTGACGGGCAAGACTGAAATGATCGGTGTTCTTTCGCTCGCAATGTATACTGGGCGAAACAATGCGCTTAAAACTTCAGCTAAAAACTTACAGTGTTTGTAATGGGCTTGAGTACTTTGAATTTTTTTTAAATTTTAAACTTTAGTTTTCATTCTGATCTGTTCATTTTTCCATGACGTAAGAGAGCAAGATAAATTGTCTTCCACCCAACATTGTTTTCCACTTGTCACCCTAAAATAACCCTCTGTTTACATTTACCAAGGTCAGTTGGGGCTGTCGGTGATTTTAATGCAAAACGAAAAACGCGTTGTGTATTCGATTATGGTGAAACGAAACACAATGCTGTAGCAGTTCCGGCAGGATATCAAGAGGGATCCTAAGTCGTTCTCCGTCAAAGAGGAGATACGTTTGACCCCACAATTACACCAAAAACAGATAAATTATTTAAATTCTAATCATCGACTGAATGTTTTATTCTAGGGAGTCATCTGTCGTGTGGCACATTTTCACACGCGCGTATAACGTGTTCAAATGATGTCGCATGCAAACATACATACACACACACACACACACACACACACACACGCACACATTGAATGTTTATTAAAATGGATGATGCAGGGAGAAACACCTATTCCATCTTCTTTCTTTCCCACCCCCCCAAAAAGGAAGAAATAAAGAAAAAAAAAAGAAAATAATCCAGTACAACAAGCGAATTGTGACAAAAACAAACACCTTCCCATCTCTATGCCCTGCATATAACAGTAGAATTGTGCTTGCTTCCTGTTTTTATTGTTTATTCCTATTTTAATCATTGCATCCCCTCTTCCATTAGCAAAATCCTGAAACCGCCAAAAGACAACGAAGGTTATTTTGACGCGACGAATTAAATACAATTAACGATTTTTATAGTGGTGGGGGTAGGCTTCTTCGATGTTTTTGACAAATGAGTTTTGATTTCAAAATGCTCTATCTTACCCTGCCCGCATATCTAAATCTTATATTTATTCTTCGCGTAGAAACGCAGAGTTCAAGCTGGGGATATTTCTTTTCCGACTGCGTGCGACTGTCATCATCGCTTACCATTTAAAAAGTGCGAAGTTACCAGCTCGTAATTGAATTCATTTAGGGTAGATAGATACGTCAAATCGACTAAAAAGAGGAGGATATATGGTCGCTGCTATCACAACTGCGCTTAACTTTGTGTTTTTTCTATCCTGATTGAATTATCCACTGTTGGGGGCCACAACGACTCTGAATTTTACCGATACCAAGGATAGAAGAAAATATCTCTAACTAACAACTTATAGCCCAACTGCTACTCCTTTGACCGCATAGACCTACGATACTTTGAGATTGAAACCGTCCCTATCGGACGGAAATAACACTTGATGTTCTGTGAAATCTGTTCGACAAATATAGCGAATTTCAAAGCTACTGCATATAGTAAGTAATTGTGAGGTATATATAGATCTATACGGAATTTAAATCACTCAAAATACGTCAATAAAAGTTCATGTGTACAATTACATATCAGTAGATAAAACTTCACTCGACAAACGAATCCGTAAGGGGGGGGGGAGGCAGTGATGACTCAAGCAGACGCACCCTTCATGCAATTTTTTTTTCATAAAAACTTTTCAATTTTATTTACAGTTTCTTGTTATCGTTCTTGGATTGCGCCCAGAATTAGAGGAAAGCGATTATTCATTTCCGTTTCTTGTTATAGCATTTTTTTCTTTGAGCGACATGCACCAGGTACCAGGAAAAGGCTTATTTATTTCTTGCTGTTTACCCAAAAATCTGTTGAGGACTTGTCACCTGTCCAAAACCAAACCGGGAGTCTTATGATTAATTCTACTAACGCCCCTATATATACTTTTTTGTTTTAGTTCTACCGCATACAGCGTTTAAGCACCATTGTTGTTTTAAATACTGAAATGAGATTGAATAACGAAGATTAACGATACTTAACGCCATCATTATTTAATGTGTGCCAAGCAGAAAATCATTTAACAAATGCGACTGCTTGTAAATCAGCCTAAACATGCCGGTAGTTGTATGAAAGGATAAGCGAAACAGGCACACGGACCAAGCTTTTCACTCAACTTTTATTTCTCTCTGTCATAAATTCTCAGCAGAACTTTGAACCAACCGTAAATTCTGCTGAAGTACAGCGTAAAAATACCCTTTATTGACTTGTATGTTTGGTTGTTTGTAAAATCACCTATGTTGAATGACTTCAGCCAACTGGTTTTAAACTGAGCGATTTTTTGGGTTACATATGACGTGAGCTGCATTGCACATTTGGTCTCATTTTCTGTAGCTGAAAATATACGGTTGATTGCCTGAAAGAGGCTTTTCATGTTAAAAGTATCGATGAACAATTTTTGAAAATGAAAAAGTTTCACGGGACCGTTCGTAAAATTTTGTTGCCAAAAATGCCGAATCCTCCTGGCTTCATGGCAAATATTTTTATTTAGTTTCACTATTTAGAGCTCAAACTTTAGACAGAAGAAAAATGCTATCTTGACAGAAAACAGAGATTTACAACTAAAAAAAATCCACAAAAGCTACGATACTACTAATCATTTACTAGATTTCATGCTAGTTTGTAAGTCGTTAGCCTTTGATACGTAGTGTGCAATTCCACTTAAATATTCGGGCAAAAGGATAAAGGATAAAAGTCATATTACATGTACTCCCTACTCTCTGTCCCCTTTGACTGGGCAACGGTTAATTTAGAAGATGAATGCATTGTGTTCATATAAACACGTGGAGAGAGAGAGAGAGAGAGAGAGAGAGAGAGAGAGAGAGAGAGAGAGGGAGAGGGAATTGCTGATGTTCGTGAAAGCAAACGTTCACGTATTTATATGTGTTTATATTTCACAAGTTAAGAGATATTTCTCGATTTTTTACGCATAAAATGTTGCAATGCTGTTTGACGAACAAGGCTAATCCTGCATCATTTCGTTTGAATTCTCTGTCCACTATATGCAAATTCCTCTTTTAATTACGCAGTATTACAAGGGTACGAATTCCATTGTATTGAACACGACCTCTCGTTCCCTTTATATGTATCATTGTTCAGGAATCTCTGTGCATACTTTGATTATCGCCAATCGGAAACGATCCGGATTAACTGAAGTTCTGCAGACGATTGAATTACACTGTTAATTACTCGGTTAATTTACAAGCATGTTTGTATCTATTAATTACAAAAAGCCATGTTTAAGAGGTAAGGGTTTTGTTGATTTGTTCAGGTATTTGAACTTTTAGGCAACGAGAAATAGATAGCGAGGATTAGCTGCTTGAAAAGGTCGAAATATTAAAAGTGACGTTCTTAAGATTACACAGACCCATCTCTTGCTTTGAGAAAAAAGAAAGCAATAGTTTACAAACATTAATCCATTGCAAACAAATTCGTTTGTATATCGGTAATCCTGCGTAAAAATTCCACTCTGTCATCACCCGGAGCGTAGATCAGAGATCGTCTGCCATTCTAACACATCATTTTCGCTCTATTTTGCGTGTTAAACTTGTGGTGCTATTCGCGCCTTTTCACATTAAAGGGCTTTCGTCCAAGAAGAGACCCCCTTAATGGCTTTTATTTAACAAATAATACTATCTGCTTGACGTCTGCTGAACGAGGGACTGATCTGCATACAATATACAACACTGATCCAATTTCAAACAGACGACTGAAACACAAGCAAATTTTAAAAACAAACCATACTAACGGGGAATTTTTAACAGAGGACATTTCTGACGAAAACGTTGTGGCAGAAGTTCATAAAACCACTTACACCGCTGACAAAACTCATACAGCGCGTGGCCTTAGGGTCCCTCTTCAAAGAAAATCGATGTTTATTTTTTTCTTAAACAATATATTTCTTTAACGTTTCTGTGGCCTGTGTGGCACAGACCATGAATTCCAACATGCCAGCAACTACGAGTCCAGCGCAATAACCGTTCTAATCATGCATGTCGTGCCTATTGTTTGCCTACGCTCTAAATGCCTCATCTTCTAACTGAACGTGACGCGGCTATACACGGAGGCAGGGTACACCGACTTCTCTGTGTTCTCGTTGTGACGACAAGCGCCTTGACAGCCGGCTCGACCTCCTCCCTCGCGGTTGAGCCAACACCCCCATTTGGAAGCTGCGCATCATTGATAAAGGGACGGCGCTAGGGTGCAGCGATGACAAGAGAGTGCACGAGCAGGAAATAATCAAGAGGGCAATTAAGAGCAATTTGCGGAAGCGATTCGGTTACCTGGCCCCAACCGCGGTGTTTTCATGGGGTTTGGTTCACAGGGAGTGCTGCGCATAATCAACACCGCTAAAAGTTCCAGAAATGGGAAATATTTGCAACTTGTGTAACCACGTTGGACCATGATGTTGTTTGCATAGTTGAATCAGTAACAGGCACAAAAACAGACTATTCCTCGGCTTGCCCACGTGATGCAGTTCAGATGGCATGCGCAACTAAAAGAACATCAGCGGCAGAAACCAGTGCACGAGAAACATTTTTCATTGACGGCCTCAGGAGGGGGTTCCAAGATTAGAGACGAGAAGAGAAGAAGAGACGAAAACGACTGAGCTACGCCTGATTAATGCATGTTCTTCTTACGCACGATGTAGATGAGGGAGCTTCTCCAGGCTACACCACCATAATCCATCTGATAGTGCGGTACTATGTTTATGACAGAACTGCCTGTTGTGGTTGCAAAGAACTTTAAGTGCAGGGTCAGACGACGAACTCTGGAGTTTCAGCATGCAGGCGTTATGCCCAATAATTATATTTTTAACAATACTGGGTCAGACAAGAATGAGGTAGGTTCCTCCATCTTCTTTTACATTTTGCGCGCCAACAGCAATTTCTGCTTGTCTGCCAAATTACGGCGATACGCTAGATTAGACTTAGGTCTGGGCCAAAATGTTCTTAAAATGAGAAAATTTTGGAGCTATCATCACTTATCAGGGGTTAGCCATTAACCATGACTTTCGGCAAGACGATCAATAACACACCATAATTTGCTTCCCTTACAGGCTTCGGGCACTTTGCTCTTCAAAATATCACCTCCCTTAGGAAACTTCTACTGCAACAACCCATCAGCTTCTGCATTCGCTATTAGATACGATTGCTGAATGCTATAAAAACGTGCCAATTACATAAAGTAACCCTTTACTTAGCAATTTAAGTTTTTTCCCTGAGTGGATCGAGAATATTTTCTAAATGCGAAAAACAGAATGTGAAAGGGAAAATGCTTCTTACTAGAAATTGGGCGACCATGAGCGACAGCAACGTCGTCCATCAATGAGCCGAAGACGTGAGCATGTCGAAATTTATGTTCAAAAATGACCCCAGGAGTGCCAGAAAACGTTCAGTATCCATGAACAAACGTAATAAATAGCGAACTTTATAGAAACAACTATCGTAAGTTCAGATACTATGTGCAAATATTTTGACAAGACCTCAGACTTGCTACGGGCGAACAGCATAGCAGAGGTTTTTCATTCACGTAGGGAAGAAGTACGGCAATAATTATGGTGCAGAGTTACGGGAAGAAATTAAACCACGTGTTCTGGGAGGTAAAATTCTGTCGACGATATAAGAAAATGAAATATCAGCACTGTCACATAAAAATCAAATTCGCCGATTATCTAATTTTTCTATATCTTGGTAAAGATAAAATGTCCAGAGGATACAAATGATTAACGCTTATCACTTTGATATACACGTTTATAGAAGCGCCACGTACTTTTACCTATTTTTTCTAAACATCATAGACGGTGAAGCGTATATTTAGTAAGTCTCATGGCCTCTGCCGAATGTTTTGAAGGCACAGCACACTGAGATCGTCTTCAGAAGTGTAACAGGAATTATCTGACAAGATGGTTTTTACTGTAACTAGTCCCAAGTTTGCTTGAGGGGGTGTACTTTACGTTAAGGTGCGGTACTGAGCAACTAGAAAACTTTATTTACTTTGGCATGTGCTCTTTTGACACCTTTTTGACATCCTTTTTTTCTGCAATTCCCAACAGCCACCTTCCAATATACCCTTAGCAGGAGGTCTCAGGATTTTTGGAAGCGATGAGAAAAATGTTTTTACGCTTATTTAATTGTCCAGGAAACGGTTTACTGACTAAGAACGATTTTATTGTTATTTATGTTGCAAGGCTGAGTTTTCTCATTAGGCACTGAATAAAGATCTAGACCACCTTGTGATCTACGTCACTGAACGTAACTGCCTTGTAACATGTCAAGGGTGGTTTTCTATTAATTGGTCATTTTCTGAAGAGGTCAGCTGCATGTACTGCTATGGCCATTGCAGTTAACGTGTGACTTCGGTACATATACATGCAGATAATATATTGCGGTAATTTATCCTTACTTCAGAGTTCCGCGAAGGGCACAGTAATTCATGCTTATGTACCTTTGCTTGAACTGGTGAAAGGAAGGAGAAATAAATCCAGCGTTTATGTCAGAATACCCCTCCAACAAGCCAGTTTGTCATGTAGGTTCGGTGTTCATTTCATATTTGGGATCAGCAGGTGCAAGACCAAGTATTCCAGACTTAGAGCACAACAATACAATATTCCCTTGCCAGAACGATCAACTTCTTTTTTTTTTTTTTTTTCGCGCGCGCGGTTTGCCAACGTTAACGTCACAACGTAAATTAATGGACAACAGTTATTCGTATTTTGGAGAACTATTCCCTTGATTACGTTAATGATATAAGTCACGGGCTTAACAGGTGAGAAAACAATGTCAAGCACTTATAATCCCCCGTGTTACCTCTCCACCTCCCAAGTCTCTTTCTAGACGTATTAGCAACTACCAGGCAGGGGTTACTATGGTCTTGTTCTACCTCTGGTACAGTAGGCCGAACATATTGCCTAATTATGAAGACGCACAAAAACGGTCAAACCAAATACTAACACAACTTGTTCTGTCAATCTGGGCTATGTCCGACTGAGATCACCACGGGTTTTCAGCCTTTCCGTGCCATGTGTTGAAGCAAAATTTTAAACGAGCCCGGCCCAAGGTTGCCTCCCGTTAAGTATTGGTGTAAAACCAACGGATGGCAACTGTTATAAGGTCAAATAAAGATAACTGCCTTTCGTTTTTATATTATTTTTGTTATCATTTAGTTGACAAATGAAAATGTGAGCTTTCGTGCTGCGTTCGATATCTGAATTACCGAAAACAAGAAACAACGTTAACTTCACTGCGCCGAGGTAGGACGAGGAGAATTCAGTTTGATAGAATAACAGAAACCTAAACGAGCACGCAAAACGAAAACTGTGTTGTCAAGTTTTTTTTATCTCACTTAAAAATAACATGCTTACTTGTCAGTTATGTTACAGTTCAGAGAACATTAATACACATATTGCTAAGTTACGCCTTATGGTACAAAAAACGTACCCCCATTACTTGAATAACATTCGTCATTAAGTATATTTTCATGTTAAATTTAACTTCAACGCCCATCCCTGCAGCCCCGGTTGACCCCCCCTTGTAAAACAATGTGAGGTAGTAGGCCATAGCCTTTGCTCGGTAATCAATAGCAAATTGGATGTGATTCCCATAGCTTGGGGTCGGCGTGAAAAGCAACAGCATTACATAAGTGACAAGTAGCGGCTGAAATCTACACCATATTTCGCTGACAAATCGCATCGTGTTTGCCGTCTAATCACTGGAGAGCAGCGCGTTCTGATGCCCCTCAGTTGCTCAAGTGTTAAATGTTATGCTAAATATGATAAGACGTGGCATAGAGCTGGCGTTTTTTATGTTTTCTGAAGTTGCTTCTCGGTTTTACAGTGGCCGACCACAGCTCCGTTTACAGGTCTTTCTACATCATTTACCTTAGGCAATCTTTTTTATTACCAAACTCTAACTATTTAAGTCTGGAATAAATGGTAAACAAGAACTTGTTATATGACCTTAAAATGCGCCGCTGGACCTGGTTTATACATGTACAATATTGAAAGGGCCAAGATAAGGACCTTCTTCATGAGGAAATACTATGTACTATGACTTATAGATGGAAGTGCACACATGATAATAATAAAGCACAATACTAATGGTGTCATTATACTTTTAGACTTCTCCAATAACAATCAATTCCAATATCAACACTAAGCTAATGGTCACAATCAAACTGCACGGTGGATATTTCAAAGAAAAATTGTAATAACTAAAACAACTTTTTGTTAAATACCAACCTGAAGCTTTTTACATGTACATGCCGCAAAATCTCTCCAAATATCGTTGAGTAAACTCTTTTACTTATCGACATATCGACACGCCCGGTGGTTCATTTTTAGGGACACTATATACACGTAAGTGTGTTTAAGATTTATTCCAACGCTTGAACCCATGTAATGTAATAACCCTTCAAAAGACGTAAAAGAAGATATAAAGAAGACAAATATGTTATCGGCGAAAACAAACAATTTGAGTCACTGAAATAGCGATGCCAACAACAACAATAATAATACTGTTAATAATAATAATAATAATAATAATAATAATAATAATAATAATAATAATTATTATTATATGTAAAAGAAAATGTTACATGTTAAGAAATATAAGGATTTATTTAGCTCTATTTTGTTTGAAACCTCAATTTTTTTCAAAATAGTGTTTCAGATACATGCAATGCCCAGGCACAACACATCTACACAATTATAGTAAATACAGCGTTATTCCTATTCCTGTTTCTTTATTTTTCAGAAGATTAATAGCAATGTATAGCTATGGTACTGATTACTTATACTCACAACAAATGTCTTACAAACCATTGGAAGCATAGCAAAATAAGAATGAATTTGCCATTTATCCATCATAATAATTTATTAACACTCAGTAAAGACTTTGGTACAGGTTGACTGTGGTCATAAAGCAAACTCTATACATTGCAACTTTCTGTTTTATTTTCAGTTCCATGCGCAATGATATTTTAAGAATTCCGATACCAACAGAGCCCGATGATCCCAAGTTGGACCCGAACGTCGTCTGTCGAACGTATCCGGACTTGACCCCGGAGCAGTTCGAAATGTGTCTCCAATACCCGGATGTAGCAGCGTCTGCCATCCAGGGGATCCAGATCGCCATGCATGAATGCCAACACCAGTTCATGGATCACCGGTGGAACTGCTCTTCGTTAGAAACTAAGAATAAAAACCCGCATTCTAGCCCGTTCTTATCAAGAGGTGAGTTTAGGCGCAATTCATTTATGTCTTCCTTTTTCCATTGAAATAAATATTTTGCTATCAGTGAATGAGTTTCAGGCATTCGGGTGACATATATGAAAATCATATTCTGGCAAATAAATCGTAGAGGTACTCCATTACCAAAAGTTGATTGCTCTTCATCCCTATTTAAAACTGGAGATTGAACAATGCCATATGGGAATTTGGATTAGACCGTAATTTTCACAATTTGTTCCTAAAAGCACAACACAAACAACTTACAAAGGGTTGTCAAAACTAGTTAAAAAAACAATTCGATTGGCGATAGTACAACTCTTTAATCGAAGATGAAGAGCTGGAAAATATCTTAAGTCTGCAGAATCATACTCATATCTGCTGGTAATTTAGCTTCAAAATGTGTGCATGTACCTTCGAGGAATTGGTAGCGTCACGAACGTTACTTAGCCTAGGGGTGTCCAGCATTTCAAGGTAATAATCACTTTTACTAAATTCCACCTGGGCTATGTGATGAGATTCAGATTCCAGTCCTTAAGTCACATTATCCACTTTAAAACAATAACACCTAGTTTACAGAACCCTCTTCGGGTTCAAGTGGCTTCCATGTAAGAAGATCGTAATCAGGCAATCAGTTACAAAGAATGATATTTTTTCCATGTTTATCCCAAATAAATAACACAACATTCCACACGCAAAAGTGAGCACCACGACAGGTTCCACTTGTTAAGAGATTATTTTTTTTGTCGAAAGAATGAAGTTAATGAGGTGAGAGCAATGTTGAAAACTGGGCTGGCCTACTAGGAACGTCGCTAACAACTTATAGAAATGTACTACCTATGCTTTCGTTTGGAAGTCCTCGTAGACAAGGAAAGCAATTATATGATGATATCTTTCAAAATTGCAAAGCAAGCAACGCCAACCTTGAAATCGTATAATGCTATTTCATTGAAAAGTATTCGGCAAAATTTTATTATGAGAAACTTACAAATCCAAAAAAAAAAAGTAATAATAATAAATTTCAAATTAAAAGAATGTTTATTGTCTTCCTTTTTCAACTAGATAAGAGAGGACGAATAACCTTGACTTTCTCCTTCTTGTCCGACTTCAAGGATCAGAATTGCTGGCACGACAGTATGCAGAGGCCCTTTAACCTGCCAGATTCTTTATATTTGTGTGACTTTTCCCCTTGTTCACATAATCCAGAGATTGGTTTGATAAGTCAAAGGAACAGTTTAACAAGGAAAACTGTTTTCCAATAACCTCCAGTTTAGATATGCTACCATTATAAGTGGTTTGTATATTCGAACGTCTGAGCCTCTGTGAAGTTTGCAAAGTGCCTGGGTTGAAAAAGTTTCAAACTTGATATTATATTGTTCTTAACAAACTCACTTCGTGGTCTTTAAGAATGTTGGAGAAAAGAATGCCCAAACAAGAAATTATGGGAAATGACGGCAGTAGATAATTGTTTTTCACTTAGCAGCGTGAAAATGATTATTGTAAGTACGTAGTAGGAAAGCTCAACGAGCTAGCTTTAATTTAAACCTCCCTGCCGCACAGAACTCTTTGCCTTCCTGGGCCTGCGATCCCGGGGCTATTGTTCGGATGTTGAATTCAATTTAGTTTTTCTTCCAAGGTATGAGGAAAAGACCCAGTTCATTTATCTTATTAATCAAAAAGAAACACAAGACGTTGACCATTTTGTCTACAGACAGGCCTGGTGAAGTTTGCAAAATGGAGACGTGTTTTCACAGTAGAGGCGATCCAGTTGTCAATGGAGCTTTTAAAAAGCAGACATATTACACATCAATTAGCTAGGAACTCTTTAATATTTGTCCAGCTTTTTTCTTTTACGTCTGCTTTTCTTACCAAAATCATGGCAGACGTTCCCACCTTCAAATTGTTTTTGCTAGGCATGGTTTCTATTTTTTTATGACGTAACATTTTTGTTTAATAGTGTGATGAATTAAACGGTCTTGTTAAGTTTGTGCGACCTTGCATGGTACATGTATCGTAAAGAACATACGTATTCTAAGCAATACGCCAGTGCAAGCAGATACCACAAAAACACGTTTGTGTTTTCGTCATATCATTTTAAAATTATGTTATACGGAATTCAAACCGACAGCGCAATTAAACTGATGTGATCCCTACAGTAAAAAACCCTCTTTATACCTCGAAGAATATATAACTGAGATTGGAAAGAACAATCTAGAACATACATGTAAAGGCACTGGCTGTTCTTGTGCTGGTCTACCGAGATAGTAGCTGTCTCTTATGTATTGTAAAAGGACAAAAACACAGGATTCAGGCTAACTCAGAAAAAATACAGTTTTGCCTCATCGCCGTGTTGTAGATGCTAGCAACTGGACAGAATATGGTTTTTTGTACAGCAGTACATGTAGGTTTATAGACACAGCCCGAAATTCATCGAGTTTGTTCATATTTGTTACAAGTATTTAACTTTTTCATCTCTGTAATGCCAGTTTTAAGTTTTTTAAGACAGTTTTAGAAAGACTACTTCCTTAACTGGTACTTTTATGTTTGTTTCTTAGTTTTAGAAGGACATATTGCTTTTTTGTCGATATATTGGTATTTTGTGTGTTTAGTGGTAGGTTTTGGATGTTGTTCTTAAGCAGTCATAACAATTCCAGAGTTAAGCAGAAAGAAAACATTTCTCAATTTGTATCAAGGTCCAAAAGGACCACCTCCTAAAGATGGAATTGTTTGTAAATAACTAACCAATCACACATTGGGTTTCAAGTCTTGCCGGTACATGTACCTGCTTGCGCTTCTTTTTTTAATTCATTATTGGTCAATTTCCGAATTTGCAAAAACAAAACACAATTTATTTATACAAGAAAGCATTGTAAGCAACCGACGTTGAGAATGAACTTGAACGGAATACGGTATAAATGGATAAAACGACTGATTTTTTTTTTTTTTTTTTTTTTTTTTTTTTTTTTGAGGTTTTAATAAACTAGTATGTGTGTCCCCTAAATGACACCGGAGTGGTATTATCAAATTAATTTAAAGATTAGAGAGGTACGTGATTGAACGCAAACAGAAGTTTTTCGTTTCCGAACTTTAACCCTACCCTGGCCACACAGTATGTGAATTTCTCTGCAGCCTGGTAGACTTCAATAGCACGGTCCTCCCCTCACCAGAACCAATTCAAGGTATCACGAACCCTGTAACAAGCTGCAATTCAGAAACGCCTTTACAGCGGCGCCAGTACTTTTTGCTGTTTCTCCCCTTGATAATTTGCCATTTGTATGTGTTTGCAAGTTGAAGACAGTAAATCGTTTTGATGGCGTATGGTTACAATTGTGCCTGCGTTTCATGAACGCAAGGTTAAGCAAAAAGGATGGTTTACCGCCAACGTTTTTTTTTTTCCATTTAATTTGGTTGACCAACAAACAGAATGGACTTGCTATATAAATCTACTAAATGTTTTGCATTATTCAGCCTCGTACTTGGCCAACGAAAAGCTTGAGTACTGGAGAACATAAATGCCCAGAAAACTCGGTAAACGACCTTAGTTTCGGAGAAAGGCAAAGTAATTTGTGGCGCTTGCCCCTGGCATTATTCTGAGTAGTTCAAGGCAAGAAAAAACAGGCTAAGTTCAGGTGACTCGCGATAAAACACAATACAAGACTCCATAGAAATCACCCAAAGCAGTAACGATCTTAATGTGCTCTCTTTAGCTTAAGTGCAGTGCTTGAACCGGTCACTGCCCTCCGAAAAGTGTGCAGTTCATTCTCCGTTCATTCGACTGTTTGATTTATTTGCAGTATTTTTCCACAAAAATAAATATATTCTCAAGAAATGTCGACGGTACTTTGACATATTTTTAAAAATTGCGCTTACTCAGTGATATGTTCATGACATAATCCCTGTCTATAGGTTCTCGCATAAATCTGACAGAGGATTTTTGGTTTAGACGTCTGATAATTCTGATATTCACAGAACTCGGTGAATGCTAGAACTGTTCTGCCTATTTGTCTAAACTTTCTCTGCCCCTCTCTCTCTCTCTCCTTCCCTCCCTCCCTCTCTCTCCCTCCCTCCCTCTCTCTTTTTCTCTCTCTCTCCCTCTCTCTCTCTCTCTCTCTCTGTCTCTCTCTCTCTCTCTCACAAATGCGCGTGCGGTCACACATACGCAATCCCACAAACACACTCTCACACACACACACACACACACACACACACTTGGAGAGAGAGAGAGAGAGAGAGAGAGAGAGAGAGATTAAAATTTCACCAAATGGTAGACAAAGAAAAGAGTAGATTCCGATATCTGGGTTTGGAAACGACTTTCGACAAGGGAGATTTGTTAAAGTCATCGGCGAATCATTTTCATTATCTAACATCCTATTTATGGCAGCGAGGATGGGTCTTTAATTGACTCAAGATTCCACGTTTAATGAACTGGCGATTTTAAAGGGGAGTCGCGTCCATTTTCCATGGCGAATCGGCTACTTCCGTGGCGCTTGCCCCTAATTATCGTCAAACGTTGTAAATATCAAGAACATACGATGAACCGGTGTTTAGCATTTCCAGAATATTGGAAGGGGTAGCTAATTCAAAACATGAAAAACATAGAATGTTATTCTAGAGAATTGCCCCAACAGCTATTACAATTTTGTTCAGGTCGCCATATTTGATTTGAACGAGCTAATAACAAGGGCAACACGACAGAAACAAGAAAATGCCATCCCCTTTTTGATAATTTTACAAATGCGTGATCTGATCAAAAACATTTAAATATGATGAATGAAAATAGACATTTTGGTCTGCGATCAAAAGAAAGCGAAATAGGGGACAAATGGAAAATTAAGTCATGCGTGCCGTTACAAATAAGAAATATTGATTTAACAACAGGCTACAGAAAACTTTGCCAAAACTTAATTCTACATTCAATAGCGTTGTGTGAAAATTCTAAAATATAAAGTCACTGAGAGTGTTTTTTTTCTGATGATTACCAAATGAATCTCGAATACTGTTTTTTTTTTCGAAATTACGTTTATGTCGTCGTCAATTTCCTGTGTTATCATTCTAAACACAACATTCATTTTAATGGTAGTCCTATTTCAATAAGTGTTCTTAACTGGTAAAATACTCCGTTGGTGTATTTTATTTTAAAACGTTTTCCCATGGACGAAAAGGAACATATTTTTGGTTTAATTAAATCTTTTGCCTCTTTAGATATTGATCTGAGCTACAAAATAACTTATTGATTAATAGTTAATATAACTTTTTCACCTTTGTTTCAATCCATTGTTTCTGTTTTATATTCTTTGTAGCAGGATTCCGAGAGACCGCTTTTGCCTATGCTATCTCTGCAGCGGGGGTGACCGCACAAGTTGCAAAAGCATGTGCCATGGGGAAACTAGTATCCTGTGGATGCGACAGTAGAATCCAAGGAAAAATAAACCCTACAACCAAAAAATGGGATTGGGGAGGATGCAGTCATAACGTCAATTTTGGAGAAAGTTTCACAGAAAAGTTTCTGGATTTCAAGGACATTGTTCATTCCGACATCCGGGCCCAAATAAATTTACACAACAATAGGGCCGGGAGACTGGTAAGTAATTTTGTGTAATCCTGTTGGTTATTCTTATTATTCAGTATTTGGGCGACTCACAGTGTAGAAAAATACCTCTTATATAACGATACACTACAGTATACACCCGGAGTAGTTTTGTAAATTTGTTATCAAATCCACAACCCACAAATTAAAAAACGTACACGTATATTGTATCTTCTCATGCTACCAAAATACATGTTACAAATCTTCTTTTAANCCTTAATACACATATTGCTAAGTTACGCCTTATGGTACAAAAAACGTACCCCCATTACTTGAATAACATTCGTCATTAAGTATATTTTCATGTTAAATTTAACTTCAACGCCCATCCCTGCAGCCCCGGTTGACCCCCCCTTGTAAAACAATGTGAGGTAGTAGGCCATAGCCTTTGCTCGGTAATCAATAGCAAATTGGATGTGATTCCCATAGCTTGGGGTCGGCGTGAAAAGCAACAGCATTACATAAGTGACAAGTAGCGGCTGAAATCTACACCATATTTCGCTGACAAATCGCATCGTGTTTGCCGTCTAATCACTGGAGAGCAGCGCGTTCTGATGCCCCTCAGTTGCTCAAGTGTTAAATGTTATGCTAAATATGATAAGACGTGGCATAGAGCTGGCGTTTTTTATGTTTTCTGAAGTTGCTTCTCGGTTTTACATTGGCCGACCACAGCTCCGTTTACAGGTCTTTCTACATCATTTACCTTAGGCAATCTTTTTTATTACCAAACTCTAACTATTTAAGTCTGGAATAAATGGTAAACAAGAACTTGTTATATGACCTTAAAATGCGCCGCTGGACCTGGTTTATATATGTACAATATTGAAAGGGCCAAGATAAGGACTTTCTTCATGAGGAAATACTATGTACTATGACTTATAGATGGAAGTGCACACATGATAATAATAAAGCACAATACTAATGGTGTCATTAAACTTTTAGACTTCTCCAATTACAATCGATTCCAATATCAACACTAAGCTAATGGTCACAATCAAACTGCACGGTGGATATTTCAAAGAAAATTGTAGTAACTAAAACAACTTTTTGTTAAATACCAACCTGAAGCTTTTTACATGTCCATGCCGCATAATCTCCACAAATATCGTTGAGTAAACTATTTTACTTATCAACATATCGTTACACCCGGTGGTTCACTTAAAGGGACACTATATATACACGTAAGTGTGTTTAAGATTTATTCCAACGCTTGAACCCATGTAATGTAATAACCCTTCAAAAGACGTAAAAGAAGATATAAAGAAGACAAATATGTTAACCGCGAAAACAAACAATTTGAGTCACTGAAATAGCGATGCCAACAACAGCAATAATAATACTGTTAATAATAATAATAATTATTATAATTATTATTATTATTATTATATGTAAAAGAAAAGGTTACATGTTAAAAATATAAGTATTTATTTAGTTCTATTTTGTTTGAAACATCAATTTTTTTTTAATAGTCTCATGCAAGATACATGCAATCTTGAAATGCCCAGGCATGACACATCTACACAATGACAGTGAATACAGCGTTATTCCTATTCCTGTTTCTTTATTTTTCAGAAGACTAATAGCAATGTATAGCTATAGTACTGATTACTTATACTCACAACAAATGTCTTACAAACCATTGGAAGCATAGCAAAATAAGAATGAATTTGTCATTTATCCAACATAATAATTTATTAACACTCAGTAAAGACTTTGGTACAGGTTGACTGTGGTCATAAGGCAGACTCTATACATTACAACTTTCTGTTTTATTTTCAGTTCCATGCGCAATGATATTTTAAGAATTCCGATACCAACAGAGCCCGATGATCCCAAGTTGGACCCGAACGTCGTCTGTCGAACGTATCCGGACTTGACCCCGGAACAGTTCGAAATGTGTCTCCAATACCCGGATGTAGCAGCGTCTGCCATCCAGGGGATCCAGATCGCCATGCATGAATGCCAACACCAGTTCATGGATCACCGGTGGAACTGCTCTTCGTTAGAAACTAAGAATAAAAACCCGCATTCTAGCCCGTTCTTATCAAGAGGTGAGTTTAGGCGCAATTCATTTATGTCTTCCTTTTTCCATTGAAATAAATATTTTGCTATCAGTGAATGAGTTTCAGGCATTCGGGTGACATATATGAAAATCATATTCTGGCAAATAAATCGTAGAGGTACTCCATTACCAAAAGGGGATTGCTCTTCATCCCTATTTAAAACTGGAGATTGAACAATGCCATATGGGGATTTGGATTAAACCGTAATTTTCACAATTTGTTCCTAAAAGCACAACACAAATAACTTACAAAGGGTTGTCAAAACTAGTAAAAAAAAAACAATTCGATTGGCGATAGTACAACTCTTTAATCGAAGATGAAGAGCTGGAAAATATCTTAAGTCTGCAGAATCATACTCATATCTGCTGGTAATTTAGCTTCAAAATGTGTGCATGTACCTTCGAGGAATTGGTAGCGTCACGAACGTTACTTAGCCTAGGGGTGTCCAGCATTTCAAGGTAATAATCACTTTTACTAAATTCCACCTGGGCTATGTGATGAGATTCAGATTCCAGTCCTTAAGTCACATTATCCACTTTAAAACAATAACACCTAGTTTACAGAACCCTCTTCGGGTTCAAGTGGCTTCCATGTAAGAAGATCGTAATCAGGCAATCAGTTACAAAGAATGATATTTTTTCCATGTTTATCCCAAATAAATAACACAACATTCCACACGCAAAAGTGAGCACCACGACAGGTTTCACTTGTTAGGAGATGATTTTTTTTTGTCGAAAGAATGAAGTAAATGAGGTGAGAGCAATGTTGAAAACTGGGCTGGCCTACTAGGAACGTTGCTAACAACTTATAGAAATGTACTACCTATGTTTTCGTTTGGAAGTCCTCGTAGACAAGGAAAGCAATTATATGATGATATCTTTCAAAATTGCAAAGCAAGCAACGCCAACCTTGAAATCGTATAATGCTATTTCATTGAAAAGTATTCGGCAAAATTTTATTATGAGAAACTTACAAATCCAAAAAAAAAGTAATCATAATAAATTTCAAATTAAAAGAATGTTTATTGTCTGCCTTTTTCAACTAGATAAGAGAGGACGAATAACCTTGACTTTCTCCTTCTTGTCCGACTTCAAGGATCAGGATTGCTGGCACGACAGTGTGCAGAGGCCCTTTAACCTGCCAGATTCTTTATATTTGTGTGACTTTTCCCCTTGTTCACATAATCCAGAGATTGGTTTGATAAGTCAAAGGAACAGTTTAACAAGGAAAACTGTTTTCCAATAACCTCCAGTTTAGATATGCTACCATTATAAGTGGTTTGTATATTCGAACGTCTGAGCCTCTGTGAAGTTTGCAAAGTGCCTGGGTTGAAAAAGTTTCAAACTTGATATTATATTGTTCTTAACAAACTCACTTCGTGGTCTTTAAGAATGTCGGAGAAATGAATGCCCAAACAAGAAATTATGGGAAATGACGGCAGTAGATAATTGTTTTTCACTTAGCAGCGTGAAAATGATTATTGTAAGTACGTAGTAGGAAAGCTCAACGAGCTAGCTTTAATTTAAACCTCCCTGCCGCACAGAACTCTTTGCCTTCCTGGGCCTGCGATCCCGGGGCTATTGTTCGGATGTTGAATTCAATTTAGTTTTTCTTCCAAGGTATGAGGAAAAGACCCAGTTCATTTATCTTATTAATCAAAAAGAAACACAAGACGTTGACCATTTTGTCTACAGACAGGCCTGGTGAAGTCTGCAAAATGGAGACGTGTTTTCACAGTAGAGGCGATCCAGTTGTCAAGGGAGCTTTTAAAAAGCAGACATATTACACATCAATTAGCTAGGAACTCTTTAATATTTGTCCAGCTTTTTTCTTTTACGTCTGCTTTTCTTACCAAAATCATGGCAGACGTTCCCACCTTCAAATTGTTTTTGCTAGGCATGGTTTCTATTTTTTAATGACGTAACATTTTTGTTTAATAGTGTGATGAATTAAACGGTCTTGTTAAGTTTGTGCGACCTTGCATGGTACATGTATCATAAAGAACATACGTATTCTAAGCAATACACCAAGCAGATACCATGCAAGCAGATACCACAAAAACACGTTTGTGTTTTCGTCATATCATTTTAAAATTATGTTATACGGAATTCAAACCGACAGCGCAATTAAACTGATGTGATCCCTACAGTAAAAAAACCTCTTTATACCTCGAAGAATATATAACTGAGATTGGAAAGAACAATCTAGAACATACATGTAAAGGCACTGGCTGCTCTTGTGCTGGTCTACCGAGATAGTAGCTGTCTCTTATGTATTGTAAAAGGACAAAAACACAGGATTCAGGCTAACTCAGAAAAATACACAGTTTTGCCTCATCGTAGATGCTAGCAATTGGACAGAATATGGTTTTTGTACAGCAGTACATGTAGGTTTATAGACACAGCCCGAAATTCATTGAGTTTGTTCATATTTGTTACAAGTATTTAACTTTTTTATCTCTGTAATGCCAGTTTTATGTAAGTCTTTTAAGACAGTTTTATAAAGACTACTACCTTAACTGTTACTATTATGTTTGTTTCTTAGTTTTAGAAGTACATATTGCTTTTTTGTCGATATATTGATATTTTGTGTGTTTAGTGGTAGGTTTTGGTTGTTGTTCTTAAGCAGTCATAACAATTCCAGAGTTAAGCACAAAATACCCACAAAAAGAAAACATTTCTCAATTTGTATCAAGGTCCAAAAGGACCACCTCCTAGAGATGGAATTGTTTGTAAATAACTAACCAATCACACATTGGGTTTCAAGTCTTGCCGGTACATGTACCTGCTTGCGCTTCTTTTTTTAATTCATTATTGGTCAATTTCCGAATTTGCAAAAACAAAACACAATTTATTTATACAAGAAAGCATTGTAAGCAACCGACGTTGAGAATGAACTTGAACGGAATACGGTATAAATGGATAAAACGACTGATTTTTTTTTTTTTTTTTTTTTTTGAGGTTTTAATAAACTAGTATGTGTGTCCCCTAAATGACACCGGAGTGCTATTATCAAATTAATTTAAAGATTAGAGAAGTACGTGATTGAACGCAAACAGAAGTTTTTCGTTTCCGAACTTTAACCCTACCCTGGCCACACAGTATGTGAATTTGTCTGCAGCCTGGTAGACTTCAATAGCACGGTCCTCACCAGAACCAATTCAAGGTATCACGAACCCTGTAACAAGCTGCAATTCAGAAACGCCTTTACAGCGGCGCCAGTACTTTTTGCTGTTTCCCCCCTTGATAATTTGCCATTTGTATGTGTTTGCAAGTTGAAGACAGTAAATCGTTTTGATGGCGTATGGTTACAATTGTGCCTGCGTTTCACGGTTAAGCAAAAAGGATGGTTTACCGCCAACGTTTTTTTCCATTTAATTTGGTTGACCAACAAACAGAATGGACTTGCTATATAATGTTGTGCATTATTCAGCCTCGTACTTAGCCAACGAAAAGCTTGAGTACTGGAGAACATAAATGCCCAGAAAACTCGGTAAACGACCTTAGTTTCGGAGAAAGGCAAAGTAATTTGTGGCGCTTGCCCCTGGCATTATTCTGAGTAGTTCAAGAGAAGAAAAAACAGGCTAAATACAGGTGACTCGCGATAAAACACAATACAAGACTCCATAGAAATCACCCAAAGCAGTAACGATCTTTATGTGCTCTCTTCAGCTTAAGTGCAGTGCTTGAACCGGTCACTGCCCTCCAAAAACTGTGCAGTTCATTCTCCGTTCATTCGACTGTTTGATTTATTTGCAGTATTTTTCCACAAAAATAAATATATTCTCAAGAAATGTCGACGGTACTTTGCCATATTTTTAAAAATTGCGCTTACTCAGTGATATGTTCATGACATAATTACCTGTCTATAGGTTCACGTATAAATCTGACAGAAGATTTTTGGTCTAGACGTCTGATAATTCTGATATTCACAGAACTCGGTGAATGTTAGAACTGTTCTGCCTATTTGTCTAAACTTTCTCTGCCCCTCTCTCTCTCTCCCTCCCTCCCTCTCTCTCTCTCTCTCTCTCTCCCTCTCTCTCTCTCTCTCTCTCTCAAATGCGCGTGAGGTTACACATACGCAATCCCACAAACACACTCACTCACACAAACACACACACACGCGGAGAGAGAGAGAGAGATTAAAATTTCACCAAATGGTAGACAAAGAAAAGAGTAGATTCCGATATCTGGGTTTGGAAACGAATTTCGACAAGGGAGATTTGTTAAAGTCATCGGTGAATCATTTTCATTATCTAACATCCTATTTATGGCAGCGAGGATGGGTCTTTAATTGACTCAAGATTCCACGTTTAATGAACTGGCGATTTTAAAGGGGAGTCGCGTCCATTTTCCATGGCGAATCGGCTACTTCCGTGGCGCTTGCCCCTAATTATCGTCAAACGTTGTAAATATCAAAAACATACGATAAACCGATGTTTAGCATTTCCAGAATATTGGAAGGGGTAGCTAATTCAAAACATGAAAAACATAGAATGTTATTCTAGAGAATTGCCCCAACAGCTATTACAATTTTGTTCAGGTCGTCATATTTGATTTGAACGAGCTAATAACAAGGGCAACACGACAGAAACAAGAAAATGCCATCCCCTTTTTGATAATTTTACAAATGCGTGATCTGATCAAAAACATTTAAATATGATGAATGAAAATAGACATTTTGGTCTGCGATCAAAAGAAAGCGAAATAGGGGACAAATGGTAATTTAAGTCATGCGTGCCGTTACAAATAAGAAATATTGATTTAACAACAGGCTACAGAAAACTTTGCCAAAACTTAATTCTACATTCAATAGCGTTGTGTGAAAATTCTAAAATATAAAGTCACTGAGAGTGTTTTTTATTCTGATGATTACCAAATGAATCTTGAATACTGTTTTTTTCTTTTTCGAAATTACGTTTATGTCGTCGTCAATTTCCTGTGTTATCATTCTAAACACAACATTCATTTTAATGTAAGTCCTATTTCAATAAGTGTTCTTAACTGGTAAAATACTCCGTTGGTGTATTTTATTTTAAAACGTTTTCCCATGGACGAAAAGGAACATATTTTTGGTTTAATTAAATCTTTTGCCTCTTTAGATATTGATCTGAGCTATAAAATAACTTATTGATTAATAGTTAATATAACTTTTTCACCTTTGTTTCAATCCATTGTTTCTGTTTTATATTCTTTGTAGCAGGATTCCGAGAGACCGCTTTTGCCTATGCTATCTCTGCAGCGGGGGTGACCGCACAAGTTGCAAAAGCATGTGCCATGGGAAAACTAGTATCCTGTGGATGCGACAGTAGAATCCAAGGAAAAATAAACCCTACAACCAAAAAATGGGATTGGGGAGGATGCAGTCATAACGTCAATTTTGGAGAAAGTTTCACAGAAAAGTTTCTGGATTTCAAGGACATTGTTCATTCCGACATCCGGGCCCAAATAAATTTACACAACAATAGGGCCGGGAGACTGGTAAGTAGTTTTGTGTAATCCTGTTGGTTAATTATTATTAAGTATTTGGGCGACTCACAGTGTAGAAAAATACCTCTTATATAACGATACACTACAGTATACACCCGGAGTAGATTTGTAAATTTGTTATCAAATCCACAACCCACAAATTAAAAAACGTACACGTATATTGTACCTTCTCATGCTACCAAAATACATGTTACAAATCTTCTTTTGACAACCCTATGCGTTCTTAAGCGTTTAACCTCCAGCTTTTCATCTTTTATCTTGAATGAAATCAAACGATATCTTTATTGCTTAAAAAAGAACAAATTAGAACGGAAATAGGAACAACTAGAGAAATTGCGTCAGCGCGCCTATGGCTAATGCACAGGCGGTTTTCATTTGTGGAAAAACATAACGAAGATTACGAAACATCAGGTGCGTATTTCAGTGAGTTTAACGCACCCACGCAGGCTTAACGATGATACCACGACTAGCTTGCGGTTCTATTTCACTATAATTCTTAAAGGGGTTGCACATTATACAAATTTAAATTAAAAACCTGAAAGAAAAAAGGTTAGAAAAGTTTATTTACTGCGGTACGATGGACTGCAATAAAAGGTCTTGAGTCTGACTTCATCACTGTCATTCACTGCAAACCTGTGATTGCTTTTTTTGTGGACGTTAGGGTGTACCCTTGTTGTCAATTCATCAAAAGACGGTTTTCAAAAGCCGTATGCGTGCGGCGTCCGATTCAATCACATCTTTCGACATTCGTGAGCAACGTTACTTTTCAATCACTCTAGGATAAATGACTGCCTCGGTCGATCTTTTTTACCGGAGTCCCATTACACGCATGTCTAAACAAAGTCAACTTTTAAAAGAGGGTGAAAGGTTGGGCGAATATTAGATATGGTTCAATTGGGGCGTTAACTGAACTGCGATTTCAAAAAGAGAAAAATGTTGTTCATTAGAACAGGGCTTTTGCTTCCTTCGTTCCCAGGCGTGTGCTGCTGTTTGCCTTATTGTTTCTCTTTGATGGGCCAGGCTTTTGACATACATTTTATAACCAAGCATAGTTACACGGCAGCTGTTGCAATACGAAGATCTTATTCTTATTAAATACGCGTTCGCGTATAATGTTACAGGCATAAGTTTTCATAGAAAGACAAAGTATTTTAATAATTAACCAGGACAAGAAAAAACATTGACATTACCGTTTTTGCGTGCATGTGTGTACATGGTACCTGTCTAATTCCTATTTCAAATTTGAATTTTAAGATGTTATTTTATTTACGTGGCGTTACTAAAAGTGACATGACTATTGTTACGCAATATAGGTTAAATAATTTTGACAGTGTTTTTAACTGCCTTTTTTAAATTGTAATTAATGAACTGTGTCAGACAATTGTGGTTAAAAAAAAGCGATCCCATTTGTAGTAAAAAAAGTAAATGCACCTCTCACGGGAACCCTCTGCCTCTAATCATGCTATAGAAAGCAAAAAGGGTTTGAAACACTCTCCGCTTCTCGCTGAGATGTTTGAGAGGTGTAAGATTTGGATACTTAATTCTATTGTTTCTCTTCCAGTTAGTGACACGTGGCGTGCGGACGCAGTGTAAATGTCACGGGATGTCAGGGAGCTGTGAGCTGAAAACGTGTTGGAAGGCTACCCCACCGTTTCGCAATGTCGGCAACGAGCTCAAGCAAAAATACCACATGGCTACTAAGGTATTCCAAAACAAAATTCGGCATTTTATTTAAAAAGCATTGCTTTTTTTTCTTCGTCAAGTTACAATGCTCTTCTTGTTGTTTTGGATACTTTTGTGCTTGAGCTTCAAATATTGGTCATATACCATATGCCAAGTTGCTGGATTTCACACTTCTATGTACGTTGTTAACACAAGCTGAAATTGGGGGTGGTTTACTTGATTGCGTTAGCTGTGTCAAGCGTACTAGGAAAGCTTTCCCCACCGTACATCATGGTTACGGTTCGTTGAGTTATTAAAATTTGAAATGAAAGAGTGATTTCTTTAAATTCACGTCGCATTAAAAGTAAATGCCTATCGGAGGCACTCTTAAATACACACACACACACACACACACACACACACACACACACGTGTGTTAGGTACATGTACGCACATTGCACACGGCTAAGCACACAAGCAATTGCAGTCATCTCACATAACACACCAATACAATTAAAATCAGTTTAATCACCACTGAATATTATTATTTTTAATAGGTTGACACGACTAATTCAGCAAAAGGACGCCTGGTGCCTGCTTATAAAGGATTTAAGCGTGGTCCTTTCAAAACGGACCTTGTGTATATAGAAAAGTCCCCAACATTTTGTGAACCTAACCCAAAGCTGGACTCTCCAGGTACGGTGGGGAGGATTTGTAACAGGAGCAGCACGGGGATGGACAACTGTGACTCTCTCTGTTGTGGGCGAGGTTATGACACTGTACGGATGAAAAGGACGGAGAAATGTGATTGTAAATTTCATTGGTGCTGTTATGTGATCTGTAAAACGTGCACGTACAACGACTGGGTAACAGTGTGCAAGTAACTGGGACTCCCATAGGAATTACTTGTGCGCCATCAGTTAAACATTTTTTCAGTGATATTTGGCACAAAGTGTATGCGGTGGCGATTCACTGCTTTATGGAGAGAACGGATTGTCGTGTCTTTTACCGAAAATATTATGGATCCTGACAGACTATATGCGCCACTGGTAGAGGTAGTGATGGGGGAGATTTCACCTGAAAGTTTTGAAATGTTTTCTTCTTTTCAAAGGGACATCGTTTATGCCTTACGCACCATATCAAAAGTGACTTCGTTCGAAGAGAGATCTCTATTCACAAGGGAATTAAGTCCAGACGAGGGTTTTTTCATTCACAAGCAATAGAACTGGAAAAGATTTACATGGATGAATATTTCCTAATGTGTCGAAGTTCCAGAAGATGGAATATATTGTTAGAACTTTGAGAATTCATGCGAATTCTAATACGAGTTTTGGTGGACGGATGATGGGACGTCATAAAAGCGGTGTTGTGCGTATGCGTTTGCAATGGATTTGTGACCACCGTTTGAACGCATGAAAATATAACCTAAACCTAAATATTTTATATGTGTATATTATACATCAAGATGCTCAAGGGTTCAAACACATATTGTTATATATTAATTGTAATGTTATTTGAGAACTGCCCGTTTATTTTTTTCTTACTTCTCACCCTTTGTGTTTTTGTCGACAAAAGGTGACTCGGTTATGTCATCTTAAATATCTGTGTTTTACATTAATTTTGGTTTAAGAGGAATGATTACAGGATTCATTACACGTGCATACTCTTCAAACTTTTCCACGCCCAAATCACTTGTACAGTCTAAGTCGTCAAGGATAAACAGTCCATTTTAGTACGTTAAACATGATGGACTTTACTACGTGAAATAGTTGCTTTACAGATTCAACGTTCCTTTTTGTATAATTTCTATTAAGTTATACTCTGTACAGATACGTTATTTATTTGCTTTTTACTGTGTACAGTTTGTAAATAAAAATCTTGTATGGTTGCTGACGTGTTTTTTAATGGGAAAAAGGCCGCCATAGTGACCATTTAAAGAAAACCATGTCATTTACTAGTCTCAAACTTACAAAAAAGAAACATAAGCATATAAGATTTCTGGTCCCCTCTTGAAATTAGAATTTTGACTAGCTGAATCATAGTTCTAAACCGTACCAAATGGCACTCTAAAATACCAAAATTTCTAAGGGCCCCGAACCCCACGCCAAGTGGGGGGCGGAGGGGGGGGGGGTGGCTCCGCATCCGCGGACCTCCCCTTCAAATTATCCTGGATCCGCCCCTGAACTGCATCCCATTTTATTTTATTTTCGTTGGACATGTATGACTATTTCTTGTTACTTTAATGGTGTCTCCAACACAAAATTAAAAAATGGTGAGTCAGTAATAATGATGTCGTTCATAAAGATGAGACATTATTCATATTTTATTCCTATTCCACACTTGTGCATTTTCCAATAAATTTTCTGCTGACACTTTCAATTTATAAATCAAAACTTATGTAGAAATTCACTGTGAAAGTCTGAATGTTTAAAACAACAATTTGATAGATCTGCAACAGGATTTAAGACATTTTGAAATTGACAATTGGTCCAGGCGTCTGTTGTTGGACCGCTTAAAGTTACACATGAATTAAGGAGCATACATTCCATGTAACAGCATATAATTTAAATCACTACTTCCAGTTTCTTAATCGACTGACATAAAGTCCGTCCACCAAATTATAATATACATTATAAGATACACCAAAATAGTTATGCAGTCAGTAAAAAAAGCTTTCAAAATACACCTTCATCAAATTTGTGGTTGTTAATTTGACCTATTTATCTGTCCCTCTAGTTTTTAGGGGTCTGTCAAATGACGTAGTAATGTATGATATGCAATAGCATGGGTAATTCAAATTAAATGATCTGGGGTTTCCGTGAATATAAAGCACAGAAAGTAAGCAAATATCTAAAACGAAACCCTTCAGTGTTTCTATAAGTTCTATAAATTATATTTGGAACATTATGGTGGCATGTGATATGAATCAGTGGCAATGATTTGACATAACAACTTGCTTCAAATGCATTTAGTTCCTTATTAAGGAATATAATTTAAGGAGGGGACAGTTTGTCTGATGGCTCCTTTGTATAATGAATCTCAACGCACTAATTATTTTTTTATGGTGGAAGGTGCATTTACACAACCCCAACATACCTTTACATTTTTTAAAATCCCAACTTATAAAGTGAACTAAGATCCTGTACATGTATTTGGTGAATTTGTGGTTGGGTAAATGCATTTTACTGCATTATGAGTTAGCTTGGAAAAAAATGTTTGGGAAGGGTAAAGTTTCAAAGCTCGGTGCCGTGGTGGTAAAATTCAACCATTTACAGGAGTTGGATTGTAAAAGAACATGACACCATATAGGTGTACATATTCAACAGACTGATACACAGAGAAAAAAAGAACTCAGAATTGAGATTTTTTCATGTATCCTCAAATAATAGGGGGGAAGATGATGTCACTTTGGTGAATCGTCTTTATTCAGCTCACAAGACGAATCTTACGTGCACAACTCAGTTTAGGCGAAGCGAAGTACACTATTCACAGACGAAGACGGCTTTGAAGTTGTCTTTAATCACAAAGGTAAGTAAAAAAAAACTACTTCGGTAGCTTAAATTCAACTTAAACATTTGTTGTGCATGAAGCAGAATTTGAGTTTGTAACCAGAAGGAATTTTTATTTTAAAAAACTCTCCTTTGACTTTTGTTTGGTTTTGGATTGAGAGTTTCTTTTAGCAGAATGATATAATCCAATTAATACACATGAAAAACATTTGTGCTCCTATGTCATGTTAGGTGTGGCTTCTCCGCAAAACTAGAGGTAAAAAGATAAATTGTGTTTGTAGTTTGTTATCCTTGAAAGGGGTTTCCTTTGATCAGACAACACTCATGAGTTGATGAGCGACCTGTGCTAACTTTATTGCGTGCGTAACGGCAGTAGTGTTGTAAAGTTAATGGCTTACATTTTCACTAATTGCAAATAACTGTTTAAGGACAGTCAAATGAGTAAAAAGATAGGGAGTAATTGAGTGCAAGTTAAATTTCTTTAAGAGTCAAAAAGTGTAGAAATTGTTTTCGTGGTAGAAAAAATGGAACACGTCGCAGTCACATATAGATCGATTTGATTGGTTAATTTCTCAATAGATTTGCAAGTTTCTGCCACGTGTTAAACACATGCAAACGAAGGTTGGATATGGTCCAAGCATGAGAAATTCAAATGATATTTTAAACATTTTTAATTTTAAACAAGTCTCTTATAAATTACCTAATACGAAATTGTTGAATGGTGGTTTGCAACAGGAGAATAGAGAATTCCTTGTAATCACGCAAAGACTGTAAAAAGAAAACAAGTAAATGAGTGAGCAGTACGGAAAAACAGAGTATAAATACTTGTAAAGACAAAGAGAGTCGGTGAATAAATGTTTGAACGCTCAAGATCGTCCTTATTGTCAGTTATTGAAATGCTACACACTCTCGTGACGCAATCCTTTATCAATTGCTTTCGTAGATTTATTTTTAGAAGAAGGTGTCTTGCAACGTTTTACTTAGACAACGGCATTCCGTTTGTTGGGGCTAAAGATGAATTACAAAGAGGGTTGAAAAATTGTCTCAAAGCAAAATACATGCACCTCCTTTTCGGAAAAATATTATTGTACGTTAATAAATTGTACGTTTACCCCCCAC